AGCCTTGGCCTCCTGTCCCCCAGCCCTCCCGGCTCCTGGCTCCGGGGGTGTCCCAGAGCACCCCTGCATGAGAGCCCGCCTCCCTCTCTGGTTTTAGTGTTCGCCGTTTCTGGCTCCTCTGAATTTCTCCGATTCTGTAGAAGTCAGACAGATAAACTGAAGGGGTGGGTGCTGATACACTGAATCTTATCTAGCGTCGTTGGTGTTTGTGAACAGGGGGCTTTCCAGACACCGCAGTCTGCCCTGCTGTCAGAACTGGACAGACACTATTTGGGGTTCCAGACTCGGGTGTTATGGAACGAGTTCTGTGGAGCCTGTTCCTGTTTTGAGTCAGATGAGGTGGTTCCTGTGTCCAAGCCAGCAGCAAGATTAGACATCCAGAAATGGGGTGCAGGGGGCTGTTAAGCAGAAAAAGGAATGGGAGCATGCATCGTGTCCCGGAGGTCTAGGCCTTCCTGAGCACGCGCACCCAGCAGGCTGTGAGCTGCCCACGTGGCACGTGCTGGGTCTTTGCTCAGAGCTGCAAGAACGAACGAGAGGGTTCCTTTCCCAGGGAAGGTCCAGTCAAAGCCCTGGGCAGTGTGTTACAACCCAGGGCAGGGCGCTCGGTGACAGCCTCCGCTGCCCTGCCAACGTGACAGGCTCCTTGGCGACTCCTGCCCTCCGGCACTTGAGAACCACGGGTCTGGGGAAGAGTCGGAGGTGGCGCGTGCACGGTTTACGAGGGCCCCCGGGACGCAGCCCAGGCGAGGGTGTAGACACGGACACCTTCCCCGTGTGTGAGGACACCTCACGGGCACAGAGTAACCTCGGCCGGGACGCAGGTGGGGGGTGGGGTTGTTCGCTTTGCTCTCTAGACTTCGGCGGCTTCTCGTCGTGGCTTCCCCCTCAGAAGGCAAGCTCTGTGTGGGGCGTTGGGGGTGGGTCTGGGGACCTGAAGACAAGGTGGGCAGATCTTGTCGCCCGAGGCGTTCCAGTCAGGCTCCCCCGACGTTCGTGTTTCACCCAGCTTCAGTCCAGCAGCTTTAGTTCACGACGCCTCTCGGAATGCTCTGTCTTGTCAGAGGCCTCTGGCCGCGCCACACAGCTTTGGAAGGGCCACGCCGAGGCCTTAGGGGCGAGCAGCTGCCGGGGTTGATAGCGCGGTCGGCACGATGCCTTTGGCGGGTGAGTGAATGCGAGGGAACGTAACCACGGAACACCCAGACGGGGCCCGCCCTTCGCTCACCAGCACATGACCGGCAGCCTGAGGCCGCGAGTCCCTGCGATCTCTCCGTGGCAATTTCTGCACACGGGCGGTCCGGCCTCATGGTGGTGGTGGCGCAGCCCCCGGTTCAGGAAGGGTTTGCGGGGCCGACACCAGTTCTTCCTGGGGAACGCGGGCGCTGCCTCGCCTTGAGCTCTGCCCACTGCAGGGACGGGGGCCGCTTCTCCGCTCTTCCCTTCATGGTTTGGTTGGAAAGACAGTCCTAGGCACTGACTGGTCTGGGTCACCCCTGGGTCACCCCCGGGTGGCGCAGAGCCCGCCTGCACCTGGGCAGTGGCTGATGCTTCCCTGACCCGGCTGCTGCCTCCCTCCTGACTCTACACACTGTCCCCGCTGCCTGCAACACCAGCTGCTGGGACGTGGCTGTAGGGTGGGTCTCCTCACAGGGGCCGGTCCCACAGACGCAGGAGCAGGACAGCTGGGGGCAGGACAGCTGGGGGCCGCACACCCGCTGGCAGCAGGTGGAGGCCTCTGCACGTCATCGCCGTCCCGGTCGTTCCAGGGCCCGCTGTGTAAAGATGACCGATGCACTCACGGTGTTGTGGACAGGCTCTCGCGAGGATTGCAGAGTTGTTTATCTCCTCTCAGAGTCAGAAACAGACATCCGTCAGTGTGGAGTTGAGTCTCCACAGGGAAAACAACGAGATTTACCGAAGGTATTGACAGGGGAAGAACTCGCATGCCATTTAGAAGAGAAAACAAACTGTAGGACAGTGACTGCAGTCACGGAAGAGAGTGATCGTATGCGCACATTCGGGGGGGGAGGGGGAGACAGACACGGGACAGACGCGTGCAGAAGGGGCCGGCAGTGCACACGCTCAGCGGTGCACGCACTTATTCCTGAGAGACGGACAGACAGAGGTCACCACCTTTTGTTACGGAATTCTGTTCCGTTAGATTAACGGGAACAAAATAGAAAGTTAGGGTTCCAAGACCAGGATCTGTGAAAACGACGCCGAGATCTCGAGGAAGAGAAAGACAGACAGACTGAGAGGATGCTCTGCTCAAACAGTGCGTGCTGCCCCGGGCACCTGCGAGGTCCGCCGGCAGGCCAGCGCCCGAGGTGGGGCGCCGCCCATTCACTCCGCACACGGCACCCCCTGCCGTGGGCTTGGCCGAGTGCACACACCAGTCCTGGCGGGGCCTCGTCGTCCTAGAAAACTCTTACAGAGCCATCTGCCTCCTGGAAAAAATCTGCCCTGTAATCACTATTGAAGCTCTTTTGTAATATCCACTTGGTACTTAAAGGAAAAAAAAAATCCCAGCAACATGTATTGATTTGGTGGTCACATTAGTGCAGAATCTTTTCTCCAAGATTTTAGCTACGGGTAGTTGTTCCCTTCTTCCCAGCACGCCCACACACCTCCGAGAGTGAGGCGCGTGGCCACGGGTTGGGGTTCACCCAAGCAGGGCAACAAAGAGAAAAATTAGTCTAATGCATGGACTTAACGAGAGGGAGAGGGTGAGCATGAATAATTAATCTCACCAGTCTGTGGCCATCAGATAAAATGAAGTCCCATTTGCTCACCCTTATTAAAAGAGAGAGAGTGCGGGAGGGAGGGGGAGGAATGGTAAAGGTCGTTAGGGGACTTGTAACGGGGAAGAACCGCCCCTGGTAGGGGTAATGTGCTTTCTAATCTCTGTGGTCTTTAACTAAGCGGCGTGATGGAGGTCCTCTTCGGGTAGCTCCGGCTCAGTGAATTATTGAACATCTTAGAAAGTGCTTGACTCCTGACAGCTGACTTGGATGTCTCTGTGCAGAGTCGTCTTGGAGTGGGACGAGACCTCACTGTTTCCCTCAGATGTGACCCATCCACTTGTCAAGAAAGAAAGAACTCCCAGAAAAGGTCAAGAATAGGAATGGACTCAATGTCAGATTGTAATTTGTGTCTTTACCATGGACATTTCATATTTTAAAGACCTGCCTTCATGCTATAGAAGTTGAACTATTTAAAAAACAAGATATTGAGCTCAAGAACCCTATTAGAAGTTTAATTATAGGGTTATTCTAATGATGAGTGCAAGCTATCACTTTTATGTTGGACCATGAAATTGCTGCTTTTAATTTTTTTTCTGTCCAGGAGCAGATTTTATGCTCAGTTTTAAGGTTATTTGCTGAAGATAGAAGATCTGATGATTTCTGTGTTCTTACCTGGAGAAATAATCTTATTTTGGATATCTTAGAATTGTTGAAAATTTGTCAACAATTGATAGAAACCTTTATTTTCAACTGCATGAAAATAAAAAAATAAAATGTTCTCTCTGTAGTCTTTATGGATTAACAAGGCATTTTAAAATTTTAAATCACCCTCTTTCAGATGCCATAAGCAATAAATATAGTTGGTTAAATTTCAGTGTCGCGCCCTGGCTGCTGTAGCTCAGTGGATTGAGCTCAGGCTGCGAACCAAAGTGTCACAGGTTCGATTCCCAGTCAGGGTACATACCTGGGTTGCAGGCCATGACCCCCAGCAACTACACATTGATGTTTCTCTCTCCCTCTCTTCCCTCTCTAAAAATACAAAAATAAAATCTTAAAAAATTTTTTTTCAGTATTGCCTGGGCTATTAGGAATTTCCCAAGATTCACTTGTTAGAAATGTGTGTTGACATTGAGATTGATGGAGTTCAAGGGGGAGACGGTTTATGGCATTAGTTTCTCAGTACTGGAGCAAGAACCTGTGGACTAGTACTTGGTAAGCGAATAAATAGGCCAACAGGAAAAAGAAAGCATGCTCTCTGTGTGTGCTAAGGGCAGAGAATCTCTCTACAAAGTATGAAACATTGAAACTTCCGAGTTCGGTGATCGGTTTTCACCCCACGATCAGCCCAGCGGAGCGTACACACAGAACTCTGTGAACCAGCAGGCTTCGAACTGTGTGAGTTTTCTGGCAGGAACCGGGTCCTCAGTACTTCCCGTAAATGCCCCATAGCGGCATTTAATGTTAATGAAGTTGAATTGAATTACTAAAATGTTTTTGTAGTAAAAGACTTAAATAATCTCCAGAAAGATTATTCATGAATCATCCTTTTTCTTTTCGCTGGAGAGAAGGCACGGAAGGGTGCAAGTTTAACAAGTGCGTGGTCTAGAGGTCGAGAACGCCTCCTCATTGGCCTCCAGGGCGTATGGGACGGAGCTTCTTAAAACCAGCGAGTGGAGAGTGACCGGAGAGAGGAACATCGGGCCAGGACTTGGGGACTGGGTCTGTGGCTAGTCTGAAGGAAAGCGTCTGGTGGGAAACTGAAAGCTGCACCCCCCTGGATGCTTGTGCTGTCCTTGCTTTTACCTCCTGAGCTACAAACACAGCCAGAGGGCAGAGAGCGCCCACGCTGGCTCAGCTGCGCGTTTCTGGATCTGCCGACTCTCCCATTCGTTCCCACCAGTAGCAGCCCCGACCTCAGCGCCCACACCTCTCTCTGTGCGGGGAAGGAACCCGGGAAGCCTTGTTTCCTCCTCGGGCGTTCCTCTCCACGCATGTCCTCTGAGTTTGCTTGCACCCTGGGCCGGGGAACTCTCTGGATTGTCCTGTGTTTTCTTTTGAGTTTCCTTTGGCCATTTAACAGCCACACCCCTACAGTCGCATCACCTGGAGAAGGCCAGGGTGTGTAGGGGCAGAACAGAACACCTTTCACAGGAGCCGAGGTGGTGGGCCGCCCTGGACGAGGCTGAAACGGAGTGTGTGGGGTGGGGGCCTGCCGTGTGTAACAGGGCCCCTGCGTGTGCTCTTCCCCCCTAGATCCTGGTCTACAGCCTGGACGTGGAACGCTGCCTCTCGAAGCTGGGCAACGCGCTGGGCGACTTCACGTGCGTCAACCTCAGGGACAGCCCTCCCAATCTCATGGTCAGCGGCAACAGGGACAGGAGGTACGTTTGAGGGATGGGCAGGCTTTGTGGCCGCAGCGGTTTCCGTGGCAGCCTGCGCGGTTTGCTCCGCTGCGGTCATACTCCCCGCCCCCCCTCGCCCCCCAGCTTCGCCCACCCGAGTTCAGCCCGACCCGTGAACGCTGTTTCTGTGAGCATGGAGAGCAGGGTCTTGCATTAGGTAATGGTTGGATGGGGCTGCCTCTGCCTCGCTTCTGCAGCACCACGGGAGGGTTGTCTTTTAAGCCATTTGGTGGACGCAGTTGGTGGAAGGTCCAGTGAGACCCCTTGGAATATCTTTTGTCTCCCTGCTGCAAAATTTGTTTGGCATTTAAAAGCTCACTTTTGAATATTAAAAACAATAACCTAAGGGATGAATCATGTTCAGCAAAATAGGGTTGCCTGCCAGATGATGTCGAGAGTGTGTTTCAGAGCACGGCAGCGTCCCTCTGGTGATGGGGGCAGAGACTTCGTGTGAGCAGACTCCAGTTTCCATTTAGGTGATTAGCAGTCTTCCCTGTAACGCGTCGGCTGCGGGAGTCAGCTTTTCCCCGTCCGGGGTCCAGTGCCAGCCACGGACGCTGCAGGAACCATCAGCACAGAGGGATTAGAGTGTTTGAAAAGACTCTCCGAGTCCAAATTTTAGGGGTTTTTTCCTCTCCCCACGCCCTCTCCCCCTTGTCTTGTCTTTTCCTTTTGAAATTTTTGGCTGGTTATCTGCCGTGTCTGATCCAGTGCCCTGAGGAGAGGTAGCGTGGCTGGAGGCCAGGGTCTGCCGGGGCACCCCTCCCGTGGGCCCGGCCCCAGGCTGCAGGTGGCGGGCTGCTCGGTGGGGGGGTCAGATCGCGAGGCGGCGCTCCTCCGTGCCAAACCCTGGATCTCTGTCACACCAGTGCAGCAGCTTGCAACAAATAATTGTTTAGTCAAATAATATTTTCAGCTCCCGACCTTCACCCCTCCACCACCCCCTTCCCTTTGAGCCAAAAGAAAATGCGAGCGTGCTTTCCTCAAAGGACATACTTGGTCATTTTTTTCTCAGAGCCTCCTAAAATGGCTGGTATTTCTGAGGCCTGAGCGTTGAACTCACTGTGTCCAGTTTTTCTCTTAAAAAAAAAAATAGACTTGGTAAGTGGCCGCACATGTGTCCCAGTAAACGAAACACATCGGTTTGTAGTTTTGCTCTCACGTTTTAGTTTCCAGACTGAGCTACACAAAGGCTCCAAGCTTATCCGATAGCATCAGCCCACAGGGGCCGCGCGGCTGCTCGCTTTCCAGGAGAGCAAGTGCAGGGGGCACTTGGGGCAGCCAGCAGGAGGGTTCGGGATTGTAGGTCGCGCTTCAGAGTTTGTTTACAGCAGGGCCGTTTAGGTGGTGCACCACAGCCAGACTCCCAGGAAACCAAGATGGCGTTCCAGAGAGCCCTCCGCTTTCTGCGTAGCCCAGCCCAGCTGGCTGTGGAGGAGCAGATGAGCCGGACTGGCGTGGCCACTGTCAGCGGCACCCGGGACTGCCGGGCCGAGGGGTGTGCACGCAGGGTGCGTGCTCAGGAGGGCGGACTCCCTCCTGCGGAGCCAGGCTGCCTGGTGACGCCACCGCGGCCAGGGGAGCAGTGAAATGCTCGGTGTAGAGGTTCTTGGTCATTTTGCAGTCCAGATTCACCAGGCTAAGTCCATTTTAACCAGCAAGCCAGTGTTACTTTTCTTAAGCCCTCCGTCGCTGTGGGTGTAAAGAACAGACTAGTGCCTTGGGGCTGGGGAGGGACTGTCCGAAGTGGCCTGCCATCGGGGCGGTGCCGGCTCTCTGCTCACTGCCGGGGTGCCAGGGACTCGGCCTCCCACGGGAGGGCGTTGTTTCTGAGTCGGGAGCCGTGTGCGCGCGCCGTGGAGTTTGAAAGGGTTAGAAATGGCACATCTGGAAAAAGGAAAGAGTAAGAAATCTGAACTTTTAAATGTAGTAGAGGGAAATGCTGTTGTGGTTTTTTTCTTTTCCAAAGGCTTAGTGGCTGGCCACGCACGCCCAGGCTCACTCGGCTTGTGTTCCATCCCAGAGGTGGGAGGGAGGGGCCAGGTGCTGTGAAGGGACCGCCATCCGTGGCTGTGACTTCCCGGCTGGTGCAGTTTTTAAAACCTGGAACCTCCTTTCTTCTTTTTTTTTTTTAATTAAAAAACCCCCTGAATTTCCAATGCATTCTCTTAGTACTTTATAAATAACTTGAAAATGAAATGACCTCGAAAGATACATAAAACTGTCCCAGATTAAGACAAAAATAGTTTTTCATTAAAATAAGGACATCAGCCTGAGTTTGCAAACATGGGTAGAATGTATAAGGAGTTTCTTCGGGTCGGGGCGTAGAAATAGGCTGAAATGGAAAGTGCAAACAGGTCACCTAGCCTGCCTCCCTTTCCGGGAAAACAGGGGCGGAGTCTGATGAAGACCCAGAGTCTGATCTGGGTGGAAACCGGGTTGTCGCTGGGCTGTGCTTTTCCCTTGCTGGGGCCCGGGATGGGAAGCAAGAGGAGGCAGGGGCTTTGCCCAAGAGCTTTAATGCTGTGGATCGATGAGTTTTCCTAAATGCCCGCGTTGTCTCTTCCTGCAAAACCAGGAAGGAAGCGACGGGCGAGGCTGGCGGAGGAGCGGCGGACAGTAGGCGTCGGGGTGGGAAGCTCAGGGGGCACTGCACCCGGGGTGTTTTATGTTTGTTCCAGGGCCCACCTTTTTACCTTGCAGTCTCACTCCTGTGAAACCGGGATGTGTGTTTTACAATGGCACCTTAAAACTGATTGGCAGAATTTTACAATGTCACCCAAAGTGATGGTGCTTCTTACCATCAATGGTGTTGTCAATCACATGAAAGCGTGTGTGTTCAATGAAGGCGAAAGTGAATTAATAGCTTAGGAATTACAATATCTGTGAGAAGCTTGAATGGGTTGCCAAGAGAAAGTCAATGGGAAAGAGTTCAAGTTGAACTTCTCTTTGGGGGCCCACTGGGCATTTCGGTCCTGTAAATGTCCCCAGTGTAGGATGTGCCTGGCTGTTATTTCTTCAAGTGTTTTTTTCCAGCCTTGATCCCTTTCTCTCCTCCCTATGGGGCTCCGGCGATGCGAGCGTCAGGCCTGTTGTTGGCCCACGGGCCCCTGAGGCCCTGTCCGTGGTCCCCTGGACTCCTGTTCTCGGGGGGGCGCGCGTCGGTGGTTTAACTTCAGGTTAACTGATTCTTTCCTCCGTCGTCTCCATTCCGCTGACGCACCCACATGGCGACTTTCTTTATTTAAGATTTTGTGTTTTGGGGTTCAAAACTTTCCATTCATTTCTTTTTCATAGTTTCTGTTTCTCTGCTCTGAATGTCATTCTTTCTTACCATTTGACGTTTACCTCTTGAAAGGTAGCTGCAGTGCCTGCTTTACAGTCATTAATGACCCCTGAGGCTGGGGTGGTTTTAGGGCTGGCATCTGCTAGTTCTTCTTCTTCCGGGAGTCACATTTTCCTGGGTTTTTGTGGGGAGGGGTGTGTCAAGTAACTTTGGGTTGTATCTTGGCTGTTTTTAATGTTATATCGTGTCCACCTTGGGCCCTTTTATCTAATCCTCTGAGGACTGTTGAGATTGATGTTTTCTTTAAGGCAGGTGGCCACCCTGGGGAGGCCCAGGCGGCAGGTTCTGTCTTCCCGTCCGTGGGTGGTGACCCCCAGGGTCCGCTCCATGCCCGAAGCCTTTGCGATGCTTCTCCGGCTCCGTCCGCACAGACGCCACTGGGGGCTTAGCCGGGGAGGGCGGCGGGGCGGTCTCTGCCGGGTCCTCACACAGCCCCGCTGCGCGGCCTTGGATCTGCCGGGCACAGCTCGGAGAGGAGCCCGGGGTCTCCGGGGCTCACACACACAGGCGCCCTTCCTCCAGGCTCCTCTCCCCCTCCCCGCCTTTCTAGCCTTCGGGGGCCCTGTCCTCTGGGCCTCCGACCAAAGAGGGGGCTTCTCTCGGAGTTGCGTCTGCCTTCGCTGCTACCCCCACCCGTGCAGCTCTGGGACTAGGGCCACATCTCTGGCGCAAAGCCACACGATCCCTCCACCTCAGGGGCCCCTGTTCTTGGTTCTTCAGGAGGTGGAGCCTCTCGCAGCGCTGTGGCTCCTCAGCACCCACAGCTCTGCTCCCGGAGCGCACCCTCCGGGCGAGGCTGTGGGAGGGGACCCTCTCCCCGCATGGCCACTTCTCCACAAGCCGCCCTCTCGACCTCGCTCCCCAGAGCCCTCGGGCCTTTGCCTCCTGCGTTTTGTCCGGGGGCTTGGTTGCAGTCGGCAGAAGACAGAGCAATGCTGGGCTTACTCCGTCTTGGCCGGAATCAGAACTCTCGCTTTCCTTGAGAAGATTTAAATAAATGCTGTAATCGGCAGCAGAGGGCTGTGTTCAGTGAGGCCCCTTCCGGGCTGCTGCTCTCAGTGTCCTCACCTGTGATCCTCTGGCTCCTCTCCGATGGGTCCAGGGATCTGGAATGGAGAATCTTATCATTGCTCTGCTGGGAAGACTCAAAATAAGAGTTGGGGGTGAGGGCCTATGTCAGGTTGTTACTGGGTTGCCAAGGCAACATCCACAGAACCAACAAACCCCACTGCTTTTTCTCTGTAATCTCGTTTATTTTTAAAATTTTAGCAACATGGCCGAGGTAAAATTCCATACCTACAATTCACCAATTTAAACTGTATAATCCGCTATAGGGTTCACGAGTGAATTCTCGGACATTTGCATCACTGCACGTGGGAACCTGGTACCCGCTGGCAGCCGGTCTCCGTTGTCCCCACCCCTCCAGCTCCGGGCAGCCGACCGCCGCACTGCTTCTGTGTCCGTGGGTCTGTCCGTTTTGAGCATTTCGTATGCATGGAATCACACAACACGTGCCCTTTGCTGACCGGCTGCTTCCCCTCGGCGTGCTTGTGAGTGGAACCTGTTGCACAGGTCACCGCCCCGTCCCTTTCAGAGCCAGACGGCACTCCTCTGTGGGAGCCGACCACATGCACCTGTTCGGTCATCAGCGGGAGAGCATGCGGGTGGCCCCCTTTCTTGAACCACCGCGGGTGCTGCCGCTGTCACTCACACGCAGACGTCGTGCCGACGTGCGTTTTCAGTTCTCCGGGGCGTGTGCTCAGGAAAGGGGCTGCTGGCCTGTGCGGCGGCTCCAGGCGAGCGTGTCCGAGGGCCTGCCAGGCCCCGGTCCTGCGCAGCTGTCCTGAGGCTCTCGCTTCCCCACGTCCTCACCGGGAGTGCGTCTGTGCCCGACAGCAGCCGTCCTGTGGGCACCAGGTGCTGTCTATCGCATTGTGATTTTTCCCGTTTTCATTACATTTATTGGGGCGACGTTGGTCAGTGCGAGCATGGAGATTTCAGGTGTCACGTTCTGTGGCACACCCTCCGTGCATCACTGTGTGCGTTCGCCCCCGCCCAGCCTCCCCTCGTCTTTGACCGTCGGACCATCGGTCTTCGCTTCCGTTCTCCCGGTTGCTGGTGATGTCGACCTTCCTTCCGTGTGTTTCTTGGCCTCTTCGGACACATGCGTGCTCATATCCTTGGTCCAGGCTTTAAATTGGGTTTTGTCTTTTCATTTACTGAGTTGTAAGAGTTCTTTATATGTTCCAGATTTCAGTTTCTCGTCAGGTACGAGTTGTGCATACTTATTCCCGTTCTGTGGGTCGTCTTTTGATTTCCTCGGTGTCCTCTGAAGCACAAAAACTTCTATTCTGACAAAGTTCAGTTTATCTCTTTTTGCTTTGTTACTTATGCTGTTGGTGTCCTATGGAAGAAGCCCTTTGCTGGTTGAGCCCAGACTCACAAAGATTCACTCCTGTTTTCTTCAAAGACTTTTTGTATTTTTGACAAAAAAATCACAAAATTTTTGTACTTTTGTACTGTGACCTCTTACAACGAGGCCACGATGCACTTGGAGTTAATTTCTGTACCGGGTGTGAGGCGGGAGCGCAGCCTCACCTTTTGCGCGTGGGTGTCTAGTTGTTCCAGCATCGTCTGTTGAAAAGACGGTTCTTTCCCCATCGTCTTGGCACCTTTGTTGAAATCAACTGACCGTAAAATAGAGGGGTTCTTCTAGGCGTACTTATCTCATTAAAGTTTAAAGGACATTGAGGTAAGCTAAATGTTTCCGTGCTTCCAGCCTGGGGCCTGTGCCCTACTACTCCGGTGTTGTACACGTGACTGCGTCCACAGGGGGTAGGGGCAGCGGGCCGGCTTGCTGGGGGTCGCGGCACTTCTGGTGGAGCGGAGCTCTTCCAGGCCGTGCACAGCTGGCCTGGTGGAGGAAGCAGGTCCAGGGAGGCTGGGAGGTTAGTCCGAGGGACCTGGTGGCTCTTTCTGCGCCGTGTACAGAGAGGCGGGAACTTCGGGGACAGGGCTTTCGAGCAGAGAGCGCTCAGCATAGCCTAGCTGGATTAAGCCAGGCTGGTTTTCTAGCTGCTCTTTCAAATGGATCACTCACTAAACACCATCGCCGGTGTTATACAGATAAAGCTATTGATTTTGGCATGTAAGGTTATATTTAAAATCCTCTTCAATAGCCCGGGTTCAGTGAGACTAAACAGAATCAGGTATTGATTTCTTTTTTAAAAAAATACTAGTTTTCTTGATTAATTTTGGTCATCTTTTTAAGCCTACACTTTAATGCCTTCTTGCTCGTTCCCTTTGTGTTCTGGATAAAAGTCCTGCTGAAGGCCAGGTCCCGCTTAGTGAAACTGCCGGGCCGGAGCCAGAACGGGCCGCGGCTCTGCCGTCCAGGACAGTCGCCCTCTGTTCTGTGGGACCGTTCAGTCTGAAGCCGTGGGGAGCGAGCCCTGAGCCGTGACCCGAAGTTAGAGAGTCTCGGGCTCACTCCCTGGCCCGACACGGGCGGAGCTGCGCGCAGCCCGGCCCTGCTGCCCGCCCGCTGGTCCGGAGGGGAGGTGAACGGGCCGCGGACGGCGGGGTTGGGGGGCGCTGTGTCGGCGCTCCATCTGCACGCGCCCCAGCACGTCACTCGGAGCCCCCCCCCGCAGGCCCAGCCGGAGCGAGCCTCCCTCCCCGCCCCAGCGCGCTTTCCTGCCCGTCAGACGGAGGCCCCTCTGCTGGAGTCTTTGGAAGGTTCTGGTGTCTTTTGTTTTAATTGGCGGGCTAGAGCCGACTCCTGTGGCGCGGTTTTCATTAGAGAGGGGCTGGGGAGAGGGAGTGCTGGAACGGCCCTCCGAACCCAGCCATGAATATTAAACATAATACAATTACAGCTTTCAGACCAATTATTTTTCCTTTCAGCGGGCAAAGTTGATGAAACACGCGCTAGATGGGGACTCACAGTCTCTGCCATTGGCTGCTGCTTGCCCCTGGAACCCGCTGTCCTGGCGTAGACTCGTGCCCGTTCGCCGCGCCGCCTGTGTCCCAGCGCCGGGCGTGTGCTCTGCGCGCCGAGGACACGGGCTGTGCCAAGCCGTGCCGCACTCAGGCTGGTGCGGCGCACGGGCAGAGGCTGCAGGCGGACCCCGGGTCTGGGCGTGGGTTTGAACGGCTCGCGTGGGCCTCGCGCCACACCAGTCCCTGGTCGTGGTCAGGGGTCTGCGGTCCCTGACCGTGCACAGGAGACGGGAGTGGTGCCTGTCCGAGGAGACGCCCCGTAGGCGCTCTTCCTGGCTCCCGCGGGGAGGCGTCCCAGCCTGCTCCGGCCCGTCCTGCCAGTCTTTGCTTTCCTCGGCGGTGCAGACACACGAGTGCTGTGTTGTTTGGAGTGTGTGTGTGGGGCCGTCCGTGCTGGTATCCGAATACTATAGGGAAACAGATGGCAAACTTTGAACTTCTGGACCAAATTTGCATTTGCCTTTGTCTCCTTAACAGCCAAACTGTAAATTATGGAGGATGAATATTCAACAGAGGGGCTCTTGATGAAAATCACCACAGCTTACTAACCAGACACACGGTGAAAAGTATTTGGGCTAAACTTTCCCGTGCCCCCGCCCTTTCCAGGTTCCCATGAGTCAGCGGGGCACCCGTGGTCGCTCCAGGCAGAGTCCCTTTCATGGCACCGAGGCCAGGAGCACGGCACCTGTCCTCCCTGCTCCGGCCCACCAGGGCCTGTGTTGCGTCTCCGGTGCTGCCAGGGCAGACTGGGGCTTTCCAGCACATTTCACGGTCTCCCTGCATGCGTCCCGGCTCCCTCCCGGGAAGCGGGGGGTTGGAGGGCATGCTGGCGAAGTGGAGGTGGCCATGAATATGCATTGCCTAGCTGGTGGCATGTCCTAGCCAGGAAGAATTCACGGATCTTCCCTCTGCACTGAGACTGCACGTGTACTTGAAACTGTGTGTGTGTGTGTGTGTGTGTGTAGGGGGAGTGTGAGGTGTGGTGTGTTTGTGTGTATGTGTAGGGGGAGTGTGAGGTGTGTGTGTGTGTGTGTAGGGGGAGTGTGAGGTGTGGTGTTTGTATGTGTAGGGGGAGTGTGAGAGGTGTGTGTGTGTGTGTGTAGGGGGAGTGTGAGAGGTGTGTGTGTGTGTAGGGGGAGTGTGAGGTGTGGTGTGTGTGTGTGTAGGGGGAGTGTGAGGTGTGTATGTGTAGGGGGAGTGTGAGGTGTGTGTGTGTGTGTGTGTAGGGGCAGTGTGAGGTGTGGGGTGTGTGTGTGTATGTGTAGGGGCAGTGTGAGGTGTGTGTGTGTGTGTGTGTGTGTAGGGGCAGTGTGAGGTGTGTGCACGAGGCCGAGGAACCCAGCACCTGTGTGCGCCCCGCCCAGCTTAGGCAGAGCCCGGACGCCCCTCCCAGGCACGAAGGCGTCCTGGTTTCATAGACGAACGTACAAGCCGCCCGTGTTCCCCTTATTCTTCAGTGGCCACCCTTCCCCAAGGTAACTGCTACCAATGTGTGTCCTTCCATCATTTTCTCTCCAGCATTTTTCAGTTGTACTTAAACAGGTGACCTACACATTCAAGCTTTCACTCAAATACACGAAGCTATAAAGAGGGAGAAGTTGGTCCCCGGAGCAGTCTAGTCTGCCTTCTCTGAAGGGCGTCTGTCTGTCCGCACACGCACCGCGTCTGTCTCACCTCCGCACCCAGTGTCACACGGCTGGGCCCTGCGGCCAGAACCTGGAGTGGCGTTTGGGGGACGGCTGCCCGTCAGTGAGACGGACCGGCCTCAGCGCCCGATGGCCGCACTGTCCACAGGCGCCGTGACTGCTGGAGCGCGCACTCAGCGGCCAGAGCAGCTAACTGTGCCGTCCAGGTCCATGGCCACCTAAACGGTGCTCCTAACTTTTCCTCTCAGGCTATTAGCATGCCCCCCTAGGTGACGTCTTTAGGTTGCTTTTAAGACGTCTTGATTTTCATGTATTCCCACTTTATGATACTTTTACATGGTGTTTCTCTTTATTCTGATCACTGCTCACTGGGTGTGAGTGGCCTAATTCTGGAGACACGGTAAGCACTGGCCGTTGAAGGACTGCTCCCTGCCACACCACTCTGTTTCCTTCTGGGGCCTCTTTCGGACATGTGCTGACCCACCCTCCTGTCCCTGAGCCCCTCGCTCACGTTTGTCCTTTAATGTCTGTGCAGCATTCTAGGTGACTTTTCAGGTGTGTCATCAATCAAATTCACAAACTGTCCCAGCCTGTCTACTTTTGGACACTGTTTTCATTCATAGAAGTTTTATCCAGCATTTTTTAAAGATTTTATTTTTAGAGAGAGGGGAAGAGGAGGAGAAAGAGAAACACCAGTGTGTGGTTGCCTTTCACGTGTCCCTTACTGGGGACCTGGCCTGCAACCCAGGCATGTGCCCTGGCTGGGAATCGAACCAGCAACGCTTTGTTTTGGAGGCCGGTGCTCAATCCACTGAGCTACCCCAGCCAGGGCTATCCGGCATTTTTAAAGCAGGATGCCAGCCACTGACACGCACAGTGGTGCTGCCGACAGGATGTCCGTTCAGTGCATCCGGCAGTGTCCAGCGACTTTCAGTGAGAGGGTCAGTGAGTTGAAACAAGAAGCCCCACTTTTTGCTGCCAAAAAGTGCTGTGCCTAATGGCCTTGCATGTGTGTGTATGTGCACTTGTACACCTGTATTACATGTGCCTAGATAAATTCCTAGAAGCAGACTCGCTAGGTGCAAAGTGAGGTGTGTTTCTCATTTTGTTGGATGTTACCAAACCAGCGGCCTCACGTAAGCACCTGCCTACCAGGCCTCACCAGCAGGGGGCCTCAGCGTTCTGCCAGATCCCTGTGCTGGGTGGGCAGGGGACCAGCGGGCACTGCACTTCAGGTTTGTTTCTTAGTTTCTCCCATCGCACATGCACTTGAACAACTTACACGTGTGCAAAAGCCATCAGTGTTTCTTCTCTGTGAACTGTTTTTCCTCTTCTCTCATTTAATGTTGGGTTGGCAGTCTCTCCTGTGAACTCGGAGGAACCGGCCTGTCCTCTCTGTCACCAGCGTTTCCCCAGTTACCGATGTCTGACTTCTGGGTTTCTTCTGTGTAGAAAGGCCGTCCCTGTTCTGAACATCTAGAGCTTAATTATGTTTGACTCCGTAAGCCCTCTAATTTATTTTGGTGCAATGTATTATATATGGCAGAGCTCTCAGATGAGAAAGTCGTGATAGGGTATTTTGCTTTTAATTGCTGTTGTCAGTGGGATCTGTGATTACATTTTTTAAACTAGTGGTTGTTGGTACATAAGATATAGCTATTGATTTTGACATTAATTTGCACTTGATTCTGAATTATCAATGAATTGTCTTGGAGTGTCGTCTCTAATGAGAAGTCTACCCACCTCTCATTTTCTTTATCTGATTTTCTGAAAACAGCGTGGATAGTGGTAAAAGTGTGGGGCACTGTTTCTCAAAGACTTTTCATTAGAACTGTGCTGTAGCTCGTCAAGTCTCGTTTCAGCACCCACCGAGGTGACTGTGTGCTCCCCCGTTTGCTGCAACAGTCTGGGGCTGTACACCAAGGGACGTGCCAGGTGGGCCCTGCTTGTCCGCAGGACGGTTGCCCCTGCTCCTGGGGGCCACAGCCCGGCCCGGCTGCTGCTTCCAGGCTGCACCCGGGGCCCCCTGACAGCTGCCCCAGCGTGCTCTTTGCTACTTTCTCTCTCTCTGGGGTGGCAGATTTGGTAAGTTATTTTCCCAGAAAGTATTCATCGAAATCTTCAAATTTGGACATTTGAAGGAAAAATTAAAAAGGAAGCCTGAATAGCTGATAATGACCAAAGAAACCAAATTTAAACATTAGGTCCAATAGGTTTTCATTCTTTTCCTGGCAAGTTTTCTGAATGCTCTGAACCCCCCTTTCTGGTACTGAAGCGACCGCCGCGTCCCTGTCACCTGCAGACGTGGCTTTGTGTAGCGAACAGTCAGGTTTCGCTCTGTGGTCGTGGTCTGTCCGAAGCTCCTGAACAGCGCAGTCTGTCCTGTGCGCCCCCACCGACCCAGCAGACGCGCCAGGTCGCACTTGCGCCGTCTGTCCGCTGCGCCACGGGCAGCGTTTGTCCCTCTCGTCACTGCGTGGCCTGCGTGCTGCCCCCTCGGCAGGGTGCTGCACCGCGCTCTTTCAGAGCGTCTGCAGGTAGCTCACTGTGAGTCCTTTTCTGTCGAAAGAAAAAAAAGCTCTTAACTATGCCTTCAAATAATATTAGGTAACCCAGGTATAGAATTTTGAGTTCAAAATCACTTTATCTCCACTCTCTGAAAATAACAGGCCTCCATGTACAGGGCAGGGTGTGGGACATGCGCTCAGATGACCCCCTCCCACCCCAGCCTCGGTGTCGCGCTGACCAGGCCGGCGTGACGTCCGCCCGGTGCCCGCTGGGGAGGTCACAGCACGGGCTCCGTGCGGTTCCCCTGTGCAGAGACGTCTGCACATTCAGGTTCCGCTCTTTCAGGGGCCGCGTGTGCTGGCGTTTCTAGTGGGTAGGAGGTCTCCGCCAGCAAACCGAGGAGTCGGCGTCGTTTCAGGCTCTAACCCTTGTGCTCGCCTCGGGCCTTCCAGGGTGAGGATCCACGACCTCCGCACCCACCAAGTCGCCGCGTCACTGTCTGCCCACCAACTCGGGGTGTCTGCAGTCCAGATGGACGACTGGAAGATCGTCAGCGGAGGCGAGGAGGGCCTGGTCTCCGTGTGGGACTACCGGATGAACCAGAAGCTGTGGGAGGTGCACTCTAGGTGAGGGGCTTCTCCCTGTTCCAGCAGTAACAGCACTGACAGTGCTAGTCCGCCCCTGAGCCAGGGGCTGGGCAACGCCCTCTAGGGGCCACAAGCCTCACCGCGCCCCATGTGCTAGCTGCTGCCTCCGTGTTCCCACGAGGGAACAGCTCAGAAGTGCCGCTGGTCAGTCGAGAGCCAGTCCCTGTGTACGTTGTTAAACTTGCTGTAATTCATTCCCAGCTGGGGTGGAGACCATGCGGCACTCCCCGACAGGGGCAGGGGCAGGGCTAGCCTGGCACACCGCCCTCCACTCCAGTCTCAGCGTGCCGCTGCCCGGACTTCCCTCACACCATGAGAAGGGCACCTAGGGCTGCAAGTAGTCAGACTTGAACTAGGAGGGATTTGCGATCTCGGCCTTCAGCGAGAATGTTCAGAAGAGAGAGAGACTGTCCCAAGTGCAGGCCGATGGCTCCACAGGGGCAGATGCTTTTGTACAGGTGGGGCCTAGCTGGTCGGACACTCTCCAGCCCACTCCTGACCTTCAGCCCAGGGGCGGCCTGCAGCACACGCCGCCCACACCTTGCCCGCCTGCACCTGGGCCCCAGCTGTCCCTAGGACGGCTGCGAAGAGAGGTTCCGAGACAGGCGGCCCGTGAGAATCAAGGGGAGCACGTGCTCAGGCCCGCAGGCAGGACCTGAGCTTGATTCCCGCTGACGCAGCTCATGGTCAACTGGACCCACGAGCAGCAGCAGTAAGTCTAGCACAAAGTCAACTCCAAGAGGTGGCATGGTTAAAGGCAGGCTTTGGTTTCTTTTTGGAGGGTGGTGCCTGCAAGTGCCTCAGCCAGCAGCAGCTTTAGCGGACCAGAGCCCTGGGTTTTGTGTGCACTGCCGGGCCCTGGCTGGCAGGGCACTTACTCCGCAAGGTGGGCACAGGGGCGCTTTTCCTGACTTCCGTGGTGGTGCACTGAGTTACCACCAGGTGGTGCCAAAAGGCAACTAAAACTCCCGCACGTTGGATTCCCAGGAACCTTTGCTTTTAAGGAATCCCTTTTCCCGGTTCAGGAGCTGGCTCACCGGAGCCCCTAGGACAGCTCCCCTTTTGGTCAGTGCACTGGGCCTGCACCCCAGCAGGTCGAGTTTTCTGCCCCTGAAAAGTTGCGCTCCCTTGGCAGAGTCCTTCCGGTGAAGCAGGGTGAGTGCGGTCTTCCCAGAACTGTCGCCCTGTCCTGGAGCTGGCCTTCCCAATGCGTCTGTGCGTGAGTGTGCAGTTCTCCCGCTGGCTAGGGGCTCGTCCTTCATGCGGACGCTGTTCCCACCGGAACGAGGCTGACGTGCCGCTCCTCCTCGGCCGCCCGCTGCACCCTCACCGCCGAGAGGCTTCTCTTTGGAGCTCCGGCTGAGCTGTCGCCTGGTCGGTTCCCTGCCCCCGCCACCATCCACTTTAACCTCTCCACTTCCTCCCACCTCTCCCCTGCCCTCCCCTTTATGTTGGCAGTGCAAGCAGCGGCCAGGCACAAGCCTGGAGCTCAGGCCACTCGCCCCATCCTCCTGGTCCCGCTCCAGTCTTTGCTCTCCACTCCTCCCGCCCCACTGGGCCCCTGGTGAAGTCCCGGGCCGACAGGGCCGGGCACAGATGCCCCTTAACTCCCACTGTCCATGAGAGAACCCTCCACTCTGGCCGAGCAGCCTGTGCCGGTCTCCCGCCAGCCCGGACGGACGCTGTCTCGTCCTTTCCTCTGCCCTGCCTCCTCCCAGGTGCTGAACTCTGGGTTCCCCCGTGTGGTCTGCAGCCTCTCCCATGCTCTGCAAACGGCTCTGTTGTGTGGGGTGCAGGTCGGGGTGGAAGTAGGTCCGCTGTTGTTTGTGTGGAAATATGATAATTAATGAATAATGCAAAAGAATAAACAGATTTGCATACTCACAACGGTGAACCTCCTCTCGCCCCACCCTGGACACCTTACCTTCCAGACCAGGCGCCAGACTGTATGGGGTGCGTGTAGCCCCAACTTCAGGACTGGGGGGGCTTTGATGGAGCCCCCCAGACGGGAACCTGGCTCAGAGAGCTGGGGGGATTGGTCCGAGGCCAGCTGGCCCGGGGCTGGGTGGGACGGGGGGCGTTCTCTCCCAGTGCTACTGAGTCTATTCTCTGTGTCAGAAACACTGGGTTGTCGGGGGTGGGTGGCCAGAAGGCAGGAGGCGCATTCAGGCCTGTTTACAAAGTGGGGCTCACACTGGCTTTGGGGACTAAGGTGAGACGCAGAGCCCCTTGCAGCTCTGCGCCCCTGAGACTGCGGCAGCAGCGGTGGGACACGCTCAGTTCGGGGGGGCCTTACCTGTGCGAGCGCCCTCCCCTGTGTTCCAGGCACCCCGTCCGCCACATCGCCTTCGACAGCCACAGCCTCATCACGGCCAACGTGCCCTCCGAGAGGGTGGTGCGCGGCGCCGACCTGGACAACTTCACCACGCACAGGAGGTCAGCGGGTTGGGCTGCTGGGGACGTGCAGGGAAGACCGCGGGGCACGATGTTAGTGGTGAAGCCCCACCAAGCCGCAGTGCGCCCTGCCGGGTGCACCCTTGGGCACAGCCGGGGCAGAGGCTCTGAGGAGAGAGGAGCAGATGGTGTGCTGAGCTCCTGGTTCATGCATTTTACCCCCAGTCTCTCACCGCTCCTGCGGGACAGCCCCGGGGGCAGGGGCACAGGGAGGGCTGGCCCTGCATGCCGAGAGGCCGAGACAAAGGGCGGAGGGACCAGTGGTCACGGCAGCAAAGCCCAGGCCTCTGAGTTGAGGCCCCTGCTGGGTCCGCTGGGTGATTTAGCTGCCACCCAAGTGAGCCCCCCCTGCAGGTGGCACAGGTGCCTTTTCCTGTTAGACTGTGGGCCTGGCTCCTGCGCAGCCTCTTTGTGAGGCCAGCGCCTCCTTGCCTTCTGGCTCCGAGCTCCCTCCGTCAACCGTGTCCACTTACCGGTGTGCCTCTGGTGCAGGACCCGGAGTGCCCGGCACACTGAGGCCCAAGACAGCTGCTCGGTGACCTGCGGCAGGAGCTCGGGGCTGAGGGCCGTCTCTGTGCTCTCCCTAGACACCAGGGGCTGGTCCAGGCCTACGAGTTTGCAGTGGACCAGCTGGCCTTGCGGAGCTCGCTGCCCTGCGACACCACGGCAAGCCACGGCTGCGACCACGTGCCGGCCTTTCCCTGGGGCGGTGTTTAGGGAACGAGGACAGGAGGAGAACCACGTTCGTGAGTCTGAAGACACCCGAGGAGGTCTGCGGGAGCACGCCCACCCAGGGTGCCCGTGTGGCGCCTGTGGTCCCGAACTGCCCTCGCTTTCCCCATCTGTCTGTCTGCCTCCAGCAGCTGCGCGCAGCCCGAGGGTGTCGGGCGTGTTCCAGCTTCCTCTGTTCCCTGTCTCAGGAGTGACACCCCAGCCCGGCTCCCGTGGGCCCCACACAGCTGGGACACGGCAGGGCGGGGCCTGGCTGCAGCACCAGCCGAGGCCTGGGGTTCTCACTGAGCAAAGGCCCTTCGGGCCCTGCTCCTGCCTGCTGGTCTCTACACCTGCAGGGCCCCAGCACCCACCCTTTGGAGAAGATGGAGCGTTCCCTCGGGGTGGGCGTCTGACACCACCCCGACCACCCAGCGTAACCCCAGGGTCAGCGGTGCTGCCCCACAGAGCTCCTACCACAGTGTGTAATTACACACTCGCACCCTCGTTTCTCCAGTGACTGCTTTGCTGACTGTTGCGCCTACCACACGGGATACGGGGCAGGTGTCTTCTACGTTGTCACCCACAAAGCGGCCTCCTCCAGGCAGGGTGTGAGGTGAGTCTGCAGGGGAGCCTGGGCGCGACAGGGCAGAGCCGTCGGGGCACCGTCTGCCGAGCCACCGAGCGAAAGCCACCACCAGAGGGCTGTTCGGTGTGACGGGCAGCCGCCGCCTAACATGCCTTCAGAACACCAAAACGAAAAACAGACCCACTAAGGAACACAGCACGGGCCCCCGAGGGTGAGCGGCAGCCCAGAGCAGTGGAAGCACTGAGGCATTGAGCGTTAGTACAACCTCCCAGTGGCTCCAGCAAATGCATGCGGCATTTTGAGACCGTGGCAAGTACCCGAGGAGGAAGACCACCAAGACAGTCTCGGTGCGTGAGGGCTGGTCCCGGGCAGGCCCCGGGCAGCGACCCCCAACCCTGGTGCAGGAAAACCGGAACCGACGACAAGCTGAAGGATAAAAACGTACCTGCCACTTCCCAGCGCTGCAGAATGAACTCGGTTTTAAAGAAGGAAGTCGAAACGGAAAAGCGTGAACTCCCCAGACCTGGGGGACCGGGGGAGCACAGCCGCAGCCCGGGGACAAGGCCACCCGAGGTTCCTGAGGGAAGGGTGTCCTCGTTGTCATCGTCATGGGGGCTGGCACCTGTGACCTCGCCTCCGTGAGGGTTTCACCCCTCGTGGCCTCGCTGCAGCGAGACCGCTGGGCTGGGCGGCACACATTTCCTCTGAAGAAACGGCTCTTCCAGCCTGATGTCACAGCCCCCTGTGCGGGCACATCCTCCCTTCCTGGCTTTGCAGCTGTCTAAGATCACTGAACAGTTCTAAAGGAATCAGACCCGGAGAGTTACACTAAAATTGAAAACAGTTGCGAACTGTTGTCAGTCACCGCCAGCAGCTGGTCCAGTATAAAATGCTATAAGCACAGGGTTGTTTTTTTTTCCCCTCCCCCACTTGTGTATACTTCATCTCCCACTCACGGTAAGTGTGCGGGTTCTGTGAAGGAGAGCTGACCAGACCCGGACCCCCAGCGCACAGCCTCAGGTTTTCTGCTGCGAACTCCTCCTCCTGGGAGGCGCCGGACTGATGGGGCAGGAGCGAGCCCCCCACCCCCCGAAGACCGGCGTTAACCCGGCAACAGTGGAGACCTCGGCCTGCGGCCTCTCGGCTCCGCTCACCCCGCCTTACCCTTCTCCTGTCACCTGCTGCTGCTCGAGCTCCTCCCCCGCGGTCCCCCTGCCGACAGGGGAGACCACAGGGCAGGGTGGGGAGTGCGGGGAGTGGAGCCCTGCACACCAGAGCTCTGTGTCCTGTCTCAGGCGTCCCGTGGGTTTCATTTCTGCTTCATAACATGTCTGTCGGCTCTGATATTAAATTCTTAAACTTGATTGCTCAGGTGACTTGTTCCCTTCAGGTGCAGCGCTGTCCCCGGCCCCAGAGAGCACACCTTGCGCGGTGGCCGGGTCTGTGGCCCACAGCAGAGCCGTTTTTCTCAAAGCCTCTGCCGCTGCAGGGGTCCCAGCCCAGGAGCCAGGAACCCACAGAACCACACGGGCACCGGTGCCAGGGCGCTTCCCGAGAACCCCCCCTCTGCCGCCAGCTGGTCCGCACCGAGTGCTGCCGCGGCCCGGGCAACGACTCACGTTTAAGGGGTCCCGGGCCTCGCCTTCCCGTAGCTGCCGACTGGGTGCCTTGGACCAGAGGACACGCCGGGCTCCCCTGAGCGGGCAGAGCTGGGCCTTTCTGGAAGGGGAGGCTGCAGCCCCCAAGGTGAAGTCTTCCACATCCACCCCGAAAACCAGGGCCCCAGGTTTAAACAGCCAGTGCGTCCTGCTCGGTAAACAACAAACTGGCCCCACGATTACAGAGAAATGGCTTCCCTCGGGGACAGGGATGGCCCAGCCACCGTGTGAGAGTCCTCCAGGGGCCTCCATAGGGCCGGGGCGTGGGCTGAGACCGGATCTGCCCCCACCCCCACCCCCGCCAATGGGGGCCTCTGCTCTGGGCAGCAGCTGTGGCAGCTGCCCGCCACAGACCTGCCCGCCTTGCCCCGCGCCGCCAGGCCACATGGTTACCTGGCTGCACCCAGCGGCGGTCTGGATGGGCTGCCTCTGGGCTGCGGCAGCAGAGCCTCTCGCTGGGCACCAGCAGGAGCCACGCGGGCACCGCCTGCTGTCGGCCTCTGGTGTTGACCGTGTGCTTCCAGCAGCCGGCTCGCAATGGCTTGGCCCCAGGAACCTTCTTCCCTGGTTGGGGGGGGACTGCCCCCACCCCCAGAACTGAGCCCGTCAGGTCATGTCTCTGACTTGGAGGTGGCAGCAGCCCACTGTTGACCTCACGGGCCTCACACCCTTGACTGCACTGCTACACACGAACCACTCGGGGTCAGACAGGAAGCTGGTGCCCCCCAGGCTCAGTCAGTGGGCAGGTCAGGGCCCTGCAGCCGTCCATCAGCCACCCCCCCCCCAACCCTGCCAGCGCTCGGGCGCGGCTCTGGGAGAGCGCGGAGACAAAGGCGGCTCTGATGCCAGGGAAGTGTGGTTTCAACCCCGGCTCCCCTGCTCGGGCCGCCAAGGCCTCCCCAAGGTCACCGTGTGGGTGGACAGCTTGCAGAGCAGGTGTTTGCAGAGCCCTCGCCAAGGCAACTTGTATTTTTAACTCTGCAGCAGCCCACGTAAGTCACCGCGCCATTCCCGAGACTCGGCTTAGCTGCTGCCCTGTCGGCGCGGCCCGGCGGGGACAGGTTCAGCCGCTCGGCGACGGAGACTGGGTCCGTGCGTGACCCGTCTCCCGTTGGCAGGGCACAGAAAGAACTCTCCAGTGCCCTGGACCCGAGGATAATGGAGCTGTTTTGTTGCAGTCTAGCGATAATTTGTTCCCAGAGAGGGTGCTCGGCAGGCTGGAAGCCGCTGTAACCTTACTCCGTCCCCTCATCCATAATTCACGACTGACGCGGCTGCGGAGCGCGTCCCCCGAGCGCCTCGTGTCAGGTTCCTGTCACGCAGCCTTTCGGACCCCCCCAGACTGCTGCTGGGTCGGTGTCGCACTGCTGTTACCTGTCCGGAAGCTGGGCTCTGACAGCTCTCCCCCTGGTGATACGGCCGTGTGCACGAGAGCCTGCCGCCGGCCGGATCCCGGGGCGGAGAGCCCACACGGAGGGAAGTGACCGCACCGCACCGCACCGCCTGGGCACTGTCCCGGCCCCGGCTTCTCCCCCCACGGCCCCACGCCCTTGCAGTCGCCGGTACAATTCCTGATAGGAGGAAGGCTGTCAACAAAGGCACCTGACTTACCACTGCCTCTTTCAGAACAGATTCAGAACAAAGCTCACTCACTCCCCGCTGCTCCGGTGAGGTGGCCTGTCCAGGGAACGTGCCCTGGGTCCCTGCGGCCAGAAGCCCTTCCCCTGCCCCCAGCACACACGCCGGCCCCACAGGTGGGAGGAGCCGTTTCCGGGCCACCTGCCTCCGTCCTCTGCACACGCCAGATGGCCACCTTGAGACCTGCGCCCCCAGCAGTAGCCCCTGACTTGTTCTCGGGGGCCAGCAGCCCCACTAGACTGGGGGGGGTCCCCTACCCTTCCTAGCAGGTTCTCCCCAACTAAGAGCCAGCCCTGGTCACTCCCCGAACGAGCCAGCGGCACGGCCTCCCACCCTGGGCAGGCAGGAGAGCCCAGGGGCGCTCGGCAGCCCATGCTCTGGGGGGAGCCCCGACCCGACAGTCAGAGGCCGCCCTCAGGCTGAACAGACCAGCTGTCCTTCGAGGGGCCCGGGCTGGGCTCCCCGGGGGTGGGTCCCACTTTAAGTAGCCTTGTGAGGCGAGCGGTGGCCCAGAGCCTTGGAGACACCGGGCCGGCACCTGTGGTCTGACACGTGGAGCGCGTGCCCACAGCCCCCAAACGCAGGCTCGGGTACGGGGGCTGAGGGCAGGGCTACTGTTGACAAAAACACTGGGCCTCAGTGCTGAGAGGAGCACACTGAAGCGAGCTGGGAACGCCCCAGGACATCCAGGCCTGCTGTGGCCGCGACCCAGCTGCTGGGCGACAAGGGGGCCCGCCTCACTCCCTCACTCGCGCAGGGCAGGGCAGGGCAGGTCGAGGCGCGTGGGGCCGGGGGAGACGCATGCTTTGGACAAAGCTGACTAGTACCGATCCACCCACGCCAGGCTGTCCAGGGACTTTCTAGATTCCTCCTCCTGCCGTCAGCCAGGAAACCCAAGGGCGGGAGCAAGATGAGGGGGAAGGCAGGGGAGCAGGAAGTGAGCTCGCATCCCCTCCCTCCCACCCCCAGAAACTGCTGGGCTGGCCATTCCCTAGCTGCCACGGTTGGTCTTTCCCACCAGACTGTGGCCCCCGGAGGGCAGGAAGCGGCGGCCTCAGCCCCCGACCTACCGCTCCGAATGCCTCATGTTTGCTGCAGCGAGCGCCAGTCCAGGACGCAGAGCTCTGAGAGTGACTTCAGACGGCCTCGCCGCTTACCCGGAGGCGGGGCCGGCCGCCTGACCACCCACCTGCCAGCATCGGGAGAGCAGAGGCTGCGTCCACCGTGTGGAGTCCACCTCACATGCCATGGTAGCCTGTCCCGGGCCAGCGTTCCTCAGCACAGCCAGGGTCAGAGGCCGCAGCCGCCTCCCGCCACGTGCTTCCTGAGGCCGGGACTCAGGCAGAGCCCCAGAGTCCTCCTCCTCACCTGCGCGGTCCCCCGGACCTACATACCCGGGACTTCCGTCCCACTGTTCTTTAACCGGCCCTGTTTGGGCTTTTAATGTAAGTGCTGGCATTAACTTCATCCTAAACCACGTTTCCACTGCTGTGTGTAAGAAACGGAGAAGGGGAAGCTGGGGGCCAGGGCGCGGGCAGGGCCAGACCCCACAGCGTGCCCGCCTGCGCCTCTCGAGTCTGAGCCCCGCTGCTGGGCACAACGGGGCGCTGGGCACAACGGGGTACTGGGCACAACGGGGTGCCGTGCAGCACGCGCAGTGCCGGAGCCATGAATTAGAAATTCGGGAACGCAAGTGACAGCAGTAGCCAGTTCCCAGGAGAACTTCCTTAGAAGGCTAGAACCGTGCCTCCCGGCGAGTGTCAACAAAGGGACCGAGCACACCCTTCATGTGACAACCAGGGCGACGCCTAGAATGCAAACAGTGGCCCGGAGAGGCAGCAGGTCATCTCGGTGCCAAGTGCCAGCTACGCAAGAGCATGACACGTTCCAGCCCCTCTGCTGACTCACAAGCCACAGCCACCAACTGAGAGCGACCACCTTCGCTTCCTTGTCCCCACCCACTGTCCATCCCCCCTCCCCAAATGACAAAGAACGTTGAGAGATGCCTACCTGGGGCTGTGGGTCACCTCCTCCGCCGTGCCCGGTCTACACTGCTTCCACTGGCGCTGGGGGCTGAGCCCTGCAGCTGGCTGGCTGCCCTCCAGGAAGAGGCATAGCACCCCAGCCTGAGTCTGGGGTCAGCCGCCAGGCCTTGAACGCCGGGCCCCTGCACCACGAGGCCAGCAGAGGTCGCTGCAGCTGCGCAGTCGCGACGGGAAGCCCCCCACTCCGGGGAGGGAGGGAGGAGTGGCTCCTGGGCCTCAGCGCCTTGGGTTAGGTTGGGAAGGCAGGTGACTTCATTCCCGGCCCTTCCTCAGGGAGAGCAGACGCTTGACCAAAATAAACCCAAAAAGGAGACCAAAAATCTCCTCTTCCAGGCCAGCCTCCCAACAGGAGTCGGCGGCCGCTTGTCCCTCAAACTGGGCTCGCGCCACCAAGCGGCCAGGCCACGAGTGCGGCCACGAGGGACAGACAGGAGCCACGTTTGTTAAGAAACCCTGTTCCTTTTTTATTGGCGATAAAAACCGTAAAAGCCCACACACCATGCCCTGTACTGGGGAGCGGGGAGCACGGGGGCCGGGGTTGACTATGTACAAGCCGCAGCCCCAGGCCCCGGCCGCGCTCGCTGCCGGCCCCGCGGGGAGGTGGCAGGGGCCGAGGGCGAGCTCTGCAGGGGCGGCAGTCAGTGGCAGAGGGCCATGGTCTCCATGTTTAGGAAGCGGACGTGCATCTTGGTCTCGATGTCGATCCCCTGCCAGATCTGAAACGGACCGAGCGGCGTGAGAGGGCCTCCCGCCGCCCCAGGCAGGTCGGGAACCGTCTCCCCGCCCCCTCCTCCGCCCCCGGCCCCCGACAGAGACCCGCCCGGCACGGAACACCCGCTGAACGAGGCAGGGGACGGTCCACCTGCTGTCCTGCCAGCGGGTGTGGCTCTGACATCAGGACCCTGAGACTGTCACCCGAGTTTTTTCCAAGCACCGATTCCAAGCTTTGGCGCAAAGTCACCTGAGTCCCACCCACCACCACGTAAGGGCCTGCGAGTCTCATGCAAACTCCTCAGCCCCATCACGCCGCCTCCTCTGACAGGTGAAATGCCAGGATATTGGGCGGCGGGGAGGGGATGGTTCAAACAGAACCGTCCTCAGAAGCATTCTGTAGACTGTTGAGGGCTGTGCAATTGTGAGGTTGCGCGTGCTGGGGCCTGGTGCGGGCTGGGAGGAGGGCCCCGCTGGGCCGTCCCTCCACTGCGTGGGGCTCGGGGGCACCAGTGTTGGGGTGCTCGGGGCCAAAAAGCCAGGAAGTGGGTAGGGGACCCCATTTCCCTGTAGCAGGGTATCTGCCTATCAGAGCAGAAAAGGGTCCCAGTTCCCAAGCCGGGAGCTCACTAGTGACAGTGGTGACAGTGAATGCCTACTAGTGGGGGCTAGAGAGCTGGGGGGGGCGCTGGGGGAGTGGGACGCCTCCGAGAGGGCACCTTGGGAGAAAAGCAAGGGCCGGGACTGCACTCAGTGGGCTTCTGGGTGTGCGTCTGAGAAAAGCCAGTGCTCATCCAGGCAGAGAACATTCCAGAGCCCGGGTTCCAGCTATGAACCGGGGCTGCTTCTGAGAAGGGGGCCTAGGGACTCTCGCACGGGAGAGATGGCATTTCCACTCTACACCTTTTGTCCCGCTTCGACTGTTCTGACCACATGTGAATATTACTTTCGATAAAGTAAACAAAGTCAGTTTAAACTGTTTTAAAGGCCACACCCAGGCTCGACCCTGTTCCACCGAGGTGCCAGTCTCCTGACCAGCTGGCCCCCCTCAGGTCCGCACTGCAGCATGCCCACGCACCCCCGGTATGCCCTCCCTCCCCAGACACCCACCTTCAGGAAGTCGTCGAAGGTGATGCCCTCGTACACCTGGTCGGGCTCCTAGGGACAGAGCGCAGGGCAGGGTGAGTGGCTTCCACCAGGACACTTTGCCCTGCCCGCCCCCCCGCCCCCACACGTGGTTGGCCTGCTCCGGTCCAGGCACAAGAAGGGACGGTTCTGTGGATAGTTCGCCATCAGCTTGAGGCTAGTCCCCCCCAAACTCCCAACTCCAGCGTCCCCTTCACAGGCTAGAGGGTGGGAGGGCGAGGCGGTTTCGGGGCACAGGCACCCCCGAGTCCCCAGGGAGGACCCCGTGGACGAGCGTGGAGAAGGAAGCGGGGTGGGTGCAGGGACACGAGGCTCTCCTTCCTCGCACGGCCGCCTCCCTGCAGCAGCATGGCCACCAGCAGACGCTTCCTGCGACGCCCCACCCCGCCTCATCACACCAGCACCAGGGGCGAGAGCCAGTTCCAGGCTCCTGCGCACGCACAGACACCTGGGGAAAGGGGCGAGGGGACCAAGGGCTGGCCTGTGCGCCCAGTGAGGCTCGGTGGTGACACCTGGCCCCGGGGCCCTCACCTGCCCGGAGTCACTGGCAGTGCTGGGCTCCCTCTGGGACCCCTGCGGCGTGGGCACACAGGGGCCCTCGGGCTGCGGCGCTCGGTTCCGGCGCGGGAGCCTCCCCCACCCTGCCCCGCAGCACCCTCTGTTGTGACGGCCGCAGCCTGGCCGGCACCCCAGGGCCCGTCCACAGAAGCCTGGCTCCACAGGCCCCACGGGTCTGCGGTATCGATCAGCACACAGCCATTAGGAAAGGGGTGATCTTAGATAAGCGGTGCCAAGACACATACGTGGTGGGAAAAGACACAAACAAGGAGCAGAGAGACGTCTGCAGACGCCCTGCCCAGCGAGCCAGGCCCCCACCGTCGGCCACGGGGGTGGGTCAGCACGGAGGACAGGGAAGACCAGGGCAGTCCGGCTCCGCTTTGTGGAAATAAAACCCAACAATGCGCAGGTGTGCATGAGCATGCATGCCGGTCTTTTGTTCTGTCGTTACCAGGAGAGGAAACCATCAAAGGGAGTTCCCTCATTTAAGGGGGCAGGCCTGGGGTGGGGGGGGAAGGTCAAGGAGAGGCCCTTCCTTCTCTCTCGGTGCCTCCCCGGAAGCTGCTCCCCGTGGCCTTTAAGGAAACAGCGGTGGGCGAGCTCTGAGGGCTGGCTGCGTGCCAGGGCCTGTCCCTGGCGCCTTGCGAACGTCACGCACAGCAACCCGGACCGGCGCAGCCCTCTCAGCAGCCTCCACGGTGGGCTCTGCTCCTGCCCCTGGTTTACAGGGGCGGGGGCGGCTTCCCCCTGCCTGACCGGGTTCTCCACCCTCTGGTTTCTCCATTGTGGTTTTTTTCTTTTAATGCAGGACACAAATCAATAATTTTTAAATGTTGTAAATGCAGCCAGTTCTCAGACGCCCGGGCCAGCCCCGTCCTGAGGGCTCCCTGCCTGTGGGCACAAGGAGAAGTGGCCGTCCTCTCCCTGCGGCGACCCCGGGTCCCCAGGGCGCAAGGAGGGCTAACTGCAGACAAGGCCCCTCAGCCTGAGCCCTGGCCCCTCCAGTGCCCTGGAAGGCGGCGCCCTTAGAAGGAAGGAGGGCGGAGGGGCTTGGGGGAACACCCCGGGGTGGGGGGGGGTGGCCAAGAGCCCAGCCACGCAACACCCCCACCCCCCACCCCAGCCACTAGAAGCCTCTCCAGAGAGAACTCTGGAAAGAAGTCGCTGGCCCAGTCAATAGCGGGCGTGGAAGCCCGTGAAAGTGGATGTGGGGGCTCCTCTGTCTGGGGGGCGGGCAGGGCGGGCGGAGACGTGTGCACCCCCGGAGGCCCACGGCACTGAACTGACATGCTGCCCCTGCCCATGCGTGCCCACAGCCCACGAGCACGACTCGAGATGTTTTCAGAGTGCAGAGGGGTCCGTGAGTGCAGACGGCCGCTTGGGGCGCACGGCCAGGAGGCCACCAGGTCACCCGATGTGCCTCCACCTCAGGGGGGGCGGGGGCGGGTGGAGTGTTGGTGCCGTCACCGTCACTGTCACCGTCCCCGCTGCCAGCTGCCCGCAAACCCACTCCAGAAAATGAAGAGAACGGCTGCCAGCTGACGCTGGAGCGAGACAGGGAGCAATCTAAAGGCGAGTGTAATTAAGTCGGATGGGCGTTTGGCTCTCCCCGCCGAGGTCCGCAGCCCTTTCCGCCACGGTTCACGCGCTGAGTGTGGAGGTTTCGCCCGGGCCAGCGGCCTCCCCGGGGCCCGAGCAGCAGACGGAGAAAACACAGGTCAGTGAGAGGGCTGCGGCCCCCACCCCGGGGCAGGCCTGGGCCTGCGGTGGCCCTGGTGACAGGCGTGGGGCGCAGACAGCAGACTCCAGCAGGAACCCCCGCTCCCCCGCCCCCCCGCCCCTGACCCGGGCTGTGGTCACCCACAGCCACAGAGTGGTGAGAGCAGCGGCTACTTTAAATGCACAGGAGCAGTGAAGGAGTGATCCCAGTGGGACCACCCGAAGCCCAGGGAACACAGTCCATCGCGACAGTCCCCTGCCTGCCACGAGGTCCCTGGGGGCTCGGAGCCGCTGACCCGGCCCCAAAAGAGTGAGCGCGACAAAGATCACTGTCCCTGAGCCTCGGTTTCCCCACCAGTAAAATCGAGGCGACAAGTCGATTCAATGGTGCCTGTGTGCACCCAGCACGGGGGCTGTCCAGGCAGTGCGGTCGCCCTGCGGGGGAGGGGCCTGTGGGCGCCTGCCGGGCCCGTGGCAGGACCCAAGGGTGTCTCCACACATCTGACCACAGCGCTGGGGTGACAGCCCCCCCGGTCGAAGTGCCAGTCACTGCCTCACCCATCTTTGCCTCCCGGACCCTCTGCTCCACTGTTCTTCCCCGGAGACGGTTCGCCCCTCCCCCCAGGGACAGCTGGAGACGCTTTCGGGGGTCACAGCCTGGAAGGCGTGGCTGGCGTCCAGTGGGCGGAGGCCAGGCTGCCGCTCAACAGCGCCCAGCCCCTGGGCCGCCCCAGCAGGCAGCGCCCGGCGGGGATGCCCGGCTCCGACCCGCCCACGCTCACCTGAGCCGCACGGTTCTGAGAGAGGACCGGCCATTTCTACAGCAGAGTGACCCTGACAAGCCTCAGGGCGTGTCCAGCCCTGCGCTTCTGCCTTCCCCGTGCACCCCCAGTTGGGCCCCTGGCCTGAGCAGGGGTGGCGGCCAGGTGAATGCCTCTGCATCTCTTCTGGGGCAGCGGGGGCCTCCACCCTGCACACCCCACAAGCACTGAAGGCCAAGCCCCCTCCTCTGGTTCAGGCTCACGTCCCCCCACCCCGCCCTAGCTCCTCGGGACCCCAGACCGGGTGGCCCACGAGAGAGCTCCCTGCGCACAGCCCCTCCGAGCCACTCACTGGTAAACACACCCACGGAAGCGAGTCTGTGCTCTTCGCCGACCAGCCGCGGGGCTGCCCGGGCCCGCAGGCCGCACAGCTGGTCCACAGGCACCCTCGCCCGGCACTGCCTGCCCGGCCCAGCTCCCGGGGTTCGGGGGAGCCTCCCTCCGGTGGGCCCCCCCCCCCCGAGATCAGAAAAGCCCCCTGCGGCTCCGAGAGAGGGGTGAGCAGGACAGCCGCACCCCCCAGGGCTAGACGGGAGCCAGCGGGGGCAGGGGGGCACTCACCATCTGCCCCACGCAGACGCTGGCCGCCTCCATCATGGCGCCGTCGGCGATGGAGCGGGCCGACTCCTTCTCAATGTGCGGGTTTCCCGACAGCAGCTCCTCCACCACCTGCCGGCCGGGCAGAGACGGGGACCGTGGGCCTCCATCCGGGCCGCGGGGCGGGGGGGCGCTGGGAGCCCTGGCCGGGCGAGGGGCATACTTTACATTTCGATATTCTTCCAGAGTGATGCGGCCGTCACTGTCCGAGTCGTACATGTGGAACAGAACTGGGGGGTGGGGGGAGGGGCTCATTCAGTGGGGGGGGCTGGAGGGGAGCCAGCTCCCCCCTCTCCCCGAACCCTCCCGGCTCCTACGTCCACCACAAACTGAGCGAAAGACCCCGACGGTGAAACCTACATGCCAAAGCCATAGCGGTCAAGGGCACAGGCCAGGGAGCAGACCAACCACTTCCTGGTGGGTGACCTTGGGCAAGTGACCCCACTTCTCTGAGCCCCATCCCCCCGGCACAGCAGTGCAGAGACCTGGTGAGCGACACTCGGGTCCGGGCCCAGGACGGCCTGGCGTGTCGAGTGGGCCACGCAGCCGTGCTGCCCACGTGAAGACAAATCGGCTCGTCATCCCCGACGGAGCCCGGGGGGGCGGCCATCACCTCGGCCCTGGCTGGGCCGAGCTGCCCCCTATGGGCATGGGGGTGCGGGCCTCCTCCTGGGGACACCCGCTCTGTTCCCTGGCTGCCAGGACCCGGCACCCCGCAGCCCACAGAGGCCAGGAGCTGAAGGGCAGGGCACCGCCCCGCCCCCTGGGCTCGGCCTCCGGGAGCCTCAGGCCCTCCACCAAGGCCCCTGCGCTGGCAGTTGCCCAGCGCTGACCCTCAGAGACCCTGGTCAGACACCCGTTCCTCTCGTCCTCACACCTGCCCCGGAGGCCAGGGCTGCCCGAGCCCGTTCCTCAGGCTGGGCTGCCGAAGCTCCTGGGAGTTAAGGTGTCTGCCCAGGACCACCCCGTTAAGGGAGGGGAGACCAGGGGCTTGGACCTGAGTCCATCTGATTGCACGGCCCCCACGGCCCCCGGCCTGGCCCCCCCCCCCTTGTCTGGGGGCCTCGGAACACCCAACGCACAGTTCCCACCAGCCCTCACTACCTGACCCCGAGCTAAACCCAGCCCAGCCCCCACATTTCCATTTCCCACTGGCCGGTCCGCCTCGGGGTGGGGCAGAGAGGGGTGTCTGAGTCACAGGAGAGTCCACAAGAGAGGGACGTGTGACACAGGCCACCCAGGTCCCTGCACCCCTGGCCGGCCTGGACTGCAGCCAAGCATACCCCACAGCCGGGGGCCAGTGGAGGCCCCCCCAGGCCGGTCACCTGAGGCCCTGCAGGGGCCCATCCTGTGAGCTGAGCACCACTCGTGGGCGGGGAAGAGACGGGCTCTCAGGGGACACCTCCTGTGGGCCAAGGACTCTGCCTGTGGCATCTCATCAAGCCTCTGACCCACCCGGCTTCACAGTAAGACCCCCATGTTCAGGTTTAAGGTCACACAGCTGCCCAGCTGCCCAGTGGAAAGGCCGGATTGGAACCCCAGTCTGTTTAAACCGAGGGCCTTGCTCTTTTCTCATCACTCACAACCCCTTCTGTTCCCAGGAACCTCCAGCTGCTGAGGGGTGTTCACGAGGCCACCGCCACGGGGCAACTCCGGAGGACACAGAGACACCCGGCACCCTCCGCAGGTGGGGCGGTTTGGACCGACCTCCCACGGGCTGGCATCCCCTATCTCCCCTCCCGCTGGCCGCAGCGCCCCCACTCCCCTACCCCGCCCCCCGCAGAACGGGGAGGGACACGCACATCGCAGCTTCTCCTTCCGGCACAGCTGCACCTGCTCCTCGTCCATGGCGATGTCGATGGGCCGGAAGTACGCCATGATGGTCAGAAAGTCCTCGAAGCTGATCTCGTCGGCCAGGCCGCTGGGCCCCTTGCGCAGGTTCCTGTGGGAGCGGCAGGGCGCGTTGGAAATGAGCGGACGGTGGCCGACGGCTCAGAGAACGCGGCTCTTGGGGACGACACTCCCCCGCACTGATGGCTGTCCTGGCCTTGCACTCTGTGTCCCAACAACCTACTGCGGGGGGGGGGTCCGGGGGCTACAGCCGAGCCCTTGTGAGGTCCCCCCAGAGCTCACCGCCCGGGGGCTGGGAGGCAGGGCGGCCTGGCTGCACTGAGGTGCACCTCGGTGCATGCTCCCACATGGGGAAACCGAGGCACAGGGCCAGCCAGTGACTCCCCTAGGTCACCTCCTGACCCTTTCCCTTTAGACCAGGGATCGGCAAACTGCAACCCACTCGGGCCACCTGTCCTGATACATCCCGCGAACCAAGAAGGGTTTTCACATTTTGAAAAATGGCTGAAAGAGTATTTGGGGGGGAAAAAAATCCAAAAGAATAGCAGCCTTTCACGACGAGCGAAAATCACATGACATTCAGATGTCAGTGTCCATAAATAAAGTTTTATTGGCACATGGCCATGCCCGCTCGTTTGCATATCGTCTGTGCCGCGCTCGTGCCGCGAAGGCTCAGCGGAGCAGCTGTGACGGCGGAGCCTGAAATGTGTGTCCCCAGCCTTTTACAGAAAGCGCTTGCCCACTCCCGCTCCCTGGCAGCCGGCCGAAGCCCCGCTGCAGCGAGCAGCCGCCAGCAGCGAGCAGCCGCCGGCAGCTCGGGGTGCCTGTTCACCACTTGAGTGCAACGCTCACCAACCATCTCAGGTTTTTAAAGTAAATCAGGGCGGGTCGGAGGTTGTCCCCATGGACGTGCTTTTCTCAAGGGTCCAGAAAGGGCTGGTGCTCTGGACGGGGCTCAGGACACACACAGCGCTGGGTCTGACACCCAGCAGGTGGGCATTCTGCAATCCAGCATGACGGCCCCCAGGCGGCCCTGGGACAGAGCTGCTCTTGAGACAGCAGCCCTGGAGTCGGCCTCGACCAGACACGGGCTCCTGGCCCCTCACCACTGACCCACTTCAACAGCCACAGCCCGAGGGCTCCCGGAGGGAGCTGCCACCCACCGGAAGGGCGGGGTGAGCGTCCCCTACTCTTCCTGACTGTGCGTCAGTGCAAAGGGGCGCTTCTCCGGCTGGCCCAGGACGATGAACAGTTAAGAGGGTTAGTGCTTACAATGTGCGTGGGATACTTGAACAATTAAAATTTTTAAAAATGTGGAAAAAGCCCTGGCTGGCGTAGCTCAGTAGACTGAGCGCGGGCTGCGAACCCAAGTGTTGCAGGTTCGATTCCCAGTCAGGGCACATGCCTGGGTTGCAGGCCATGAGCCCCAGCAACCGCACATTGATGTTTCTCTCTCCCTCCCTCCCTTCCCTCTCTAGAGATAAATAAAAAATCTTAAAACAAACAAACAAACCTGAGCTTTAAAAAAAATGTGGAAAAAAATTGTGCATGGGATCCACCCGGGTCACGACCAACCCTCGGTTTAAAGGGAAATGTCTGTGGTTCTCTCTCGGGGGCCCATCTGTTCCCTCCCAGATACCAACTGACCCTGCACGAGGCAGCGCCCTGCACAGTCCACGCATCTCGCCCGTCCTGACCGTGCGTGCCAGGAGATCTTCCAGAGCGAGGCGAGTCAGTCCCCAGCTGGGAACCCACAAGGTGGGTCGTGAAAACCACAAACGTGACACAAGACGAGGAGGTCTTCCTCCGAACGCAGGGAGCCCCATCTTGGAGAGTTTTTCTCAGTCTCCCCTGAGGTTTTCCATCTTACAAAGCTTCCCCCTGCTCCTCCAGACGGATCCTCAGTAATCTCTGAGTTCCTGCCGTCAGGGGCCCGGACCCGATTCACAGGGTATAAAACAGCCCCCAGAATCACTGGGCTCCCCTGAGGCCCCTCTCACTGTCTCGGCTCACACGACCTTCCTGAGTGGTTTTGGCTGCCGCAGTAGCTGCTGCAATTAAGATTAGCACCCGGGAACAGCAGGCCACGTGTCCTCCTCGGGGAAGGTCAGAGTCAGACTGCTTTGCCATCCTAGTGTCCCTGGGAGGTCCACATGGGCCAGGGCCTCCAAAGGCAACAAGAGTGCAGAGGGCAGGGAACCCAGACCCAGCACCTGGAACCAGCCACACCTGCTCTCCACTCCTGTGTCCTAAATGGGGTGCCCTCAGCCAGGGTCCTGGAGGAAGGCCTTTGCTTCTTCTAGGGCCACCTAAGGACTCCCCACTCCCCTGCATTATGAGCAGGTGAGGCTCAGAGAGGCTCAGCATCTTGCTCAGGCCCCACAGCCCCGGCACCACCAGAGCTGAGCCGTTCAGGCTCATATAACTTGTACCGGGTCGGAGAAGTCCTCCCCCATCATATGGCCCGTTCCCTTCCTTCCTCCTTCTGCCGGTTCTCCCTGCGTGTCAGCGATCTCTGCAGCCCCAGCTTACCCCTCCCCAAGAACTCAGCTTGTTTGCACCCAGATCCCTGACCCACCAAAACGGTGCGCTATTAATACTCACTGTTATAAACTGCTAGGCTTGGGGGTAATTTGTTACGCAGCCATAGCTGACTAATAAGGAGGAGGCCCAGAGGGACCGAGTGAGCTGCCCAAAGTCACCCAGCCACAGAATCTGGAACTGTCTGGCCCAGCCCTGGGCTCGGAGCCCCCACCCGGCGCAGCTGCCCCTCGCTCTCCGTGTCAGCACAAGAGCCGGCGCTGAGCGCACGGGGCTGTGAGACGAGGCACGAGCAAGACGCTCCCCCGAGGATGGCATCGCCCGCCAGCAGGCAGTTCGGAGAACGAGGCCCACCTGTTGTCGAAGAAGGCACGGACGATTTTGGATCGGATCGGGTTGAGCTCCAGGTCGGGGACATTGTTGAAGTTCTCCTTGCTGGTCCCGGGACGGACAGGCACCGGGAAAAGAGGGAGAAAGGAAAGCAATGTCATACGGCGGCATGTCACCGCGTAGCAGGGCTCTCGGGGACAGGGCCGGGAGGCGCCGCACTGGCCTGTCTCTTCCTCCAAGGTCTGGGCTGGTGGGAGCAGGGGGAGCTGGGCGCCCACAAATGCTTTGGGGAATCCGATAAACATCCCGTCCATTCACCTCCAGGAAAACAGAGGGGTGTAAGAACGGCACCCCTTTCCAAGAGATCAGAGGGCCACTTGGGGCCCACCGTGGGCCCCAGGGAGAGAGACCCTCCGTGGGCAAGAGCGGTAGGGGTGCCACCCGACCCAGCGGTTTCGCTCCTTGGCGTGTACCCGAGAGGGGGGGGGGAAGCCTGTGTCCACGTGAAAACACGTGCACGGGTGCTCGCGGCAGCAGCAGGGTTCCGACAGCCGTAACAAGGGAACACCCCAAAGGTCTGACACCCGCAGACACCTGGGCAAATAAAACGTGGTCCCTCCACACAGCGGAATGTCGTTCAGCCGTGACAAGGAATGAAATGTGGATCCCTTCTGCAACACCGATGGCACTTAAACATAGGATGCTACGTGAGAGAATCCAGACACGAAAGACCAGGAAGGGTCTGACTCCGTTTCTACGACGTGTCCAGGACATGTGAACCCGTGGACACAGATGGCAGACCGCTGGTCTCCGGGGGCCGGGGAGTCAGGGGCGGTGGGGCGTGGTGGGGCGGGACACACTTGCTTTGGGGGCTGAGGGGGATGTCTGGGGACACAGCTCTGAGGACACACGGGAGCCAGCGGGCTGTGCACTACCTGGGTGACTCGAAGGCTACAGGAGCTGCATTTCGGTGAAGCTGGTAGGAAACAAAACAGATGCTGACTTGGGACCGGAGAGGGTGGGTCAGCCCGACGCAGCGGCCCCGTCGGTGGGCACAGGCGTCACAGGGCCCTCGAGCGTCAGGTTTGGGGGTGCGGCGGCGGCAGTAAGCCCCTCACCCCCCTCACCTTCCCACCCCAGGCCGCCCTTTGCTCCTGGAATCTGCTCCCTGTTCGCTCTATTCTTTTCCCTGCTCCATGGATTTTAATGGGCAGCGGCCTTGGAAGAGACCCAGCGCATGGGCCGGCGCTCCTGGGGAGCGGGGAGGTGCACCCGGGTGGGGAGGAGGAGGACAGATGTCAGCCTCTTAGAACCAGAGTGGCCAGGGGGAGACAGGACTGGAAACCAGAGGGAAGCCCGGCTGGGGAGGAGGAGGAGCCGCTCCTGCGGAGGGTCACCCACCGCTGCGGCCGAGAGGGTCCCCAAACACACGCTGCCCCCTCTGCCCCCTCTGCCCCCTCTGCAGAGAGGACCCGGCCCCGGGCCCGGAAAACCTCGGCTCTCTGCCCCCAGCTCCGCTGCTGTCCCCTCCCCGGCGCTCCCGGCGGGGCCCGCGTTCAGCGTTTGGGCAAACTCAGGAGGCAGCATCAGCAGACACCCCAGTGATTAAGGTTCACGGGCACCCAGTTCTGAAGAAGGGGGAGACGCAGAGTCTGGAGGGAGGGAATACTACTCAGCCATGAAAAGGGACGCGGCACCGACACGCGCTGCCCTGCAGGGGAACCCCGCACAGCCGATGCGGAGTGAGAGAGGCCAGGCTCAGAGGTGCGCGGGCGCGTGACCCCGTTCAGAGGCCACGGCCACAGCCGGGAGACCCGCAGAGAGAGAGAGAGAGAGAGAGAGAGAGAGAGAGAGAGAGAGAGAGAGAGAGAGAGACAGAAGATCGGGGGCTGCTGGGGGCGGGAGGTGGACGGCAGGTGACATCATAGGGGCAACGGACGAGTAACTGAGATTCGCACGTAAGAGGTGCGAAGCTTACAGTCCGACACACACGGTGAGCTCTTAGTTTTAAAATAACAACAATAGTAATGACAATAATAATAATAATAACCATAATGACAGCAGCTAACCTTCTACTCTCTCCCCAGGTGCCAGGGACGGTTCCCAGAGCTTCACATTATTACCCTATGAGGGAAGAACTTCTCTCCATCTCAAAGATGGGGAAACCGAGGCAGAGAGGCGCAGGAACTTCCGACCGCTGACCCGTGCCACCCACGGAAGCCCTGGCGGGCGCGGCTCCCCAAGAGGTCTGGGCTGGGGGCCTGGTCCTTGGGGACCCTCCCCACCCATCCTTCGCCAGCCCCCATTTTTGACAAGTTGGGCGCAGGCCTGGCGCCCAGAACCTGGGAAAGGCTGACAGGAGTCCCACGCCCCGTGAAGGCTGGGTTCCGTCTCACGTTCCTCCCTCCCCCCGCGCCCCCGGGTGCCCACGGGGCCGGCTGGACCGGCTTGGCCGAGTCACAGAACAGGCTCCGCTTCACACCCGGGGACAGGCCATGGCTGTCAGCCAGAGCTGGCGTGGTGGCAGGTGGTCCCACGATGCTGCCCCAGTGACCAGCAGGGGCAGCCTGCCCACAAGGGCGCCAGGGGCACAGGGCCTTGGGCCCCCCTCCAGGGGCTGGAGCCCGGGGTTGCCCTCCCCCCGGCGCCCCGAGAGCTTTCGCTGTGTCTGGCTCTGCTACACGCCTCCCCACATTACAGGCAAGCACACGAGGCCCGGAGGGGCTGGAAGAAAAGCTTCAAGTCCGGCTCCGACCGCCCCGTGCCTTCCCTCACGCGCTACGCCCTTTGGGTCTCACGTTCTACTTTAGGGAGAGAGAGAACAGCACAAACATTCACAGGGCGCCTGCTCCCATCCAGCCCCAGAGGCCCCAGCCGCGGCCCAGGAAGAGCGTCCGGCCCACGAGGGAAGGAAGGACAAGCTGAGAAAAACCACCGAGGGCCGGCCGGATGCCGCTCAGGCCCCGTGGTGCGCCTCGGTTTCCGGTGGCTCCGGGGCTCAGCTCAACTGCCGAGCTCTCCCTGCAGGTTTGAGGCCTGGGGTGGCCCCGGCCACCCCCAGGGCTTCCTGGCCCCCGGCTGGCTCCCGCACTCCTCTGTGCGTCTGTGCCGTGGGCGGGGGGCGAGAACAGAAGCGGGGGGCCGGGGGTGGGGAGGCTGCGCCGACACCCTGGGGCCTGAGTGGGACTTCTGGGAGGACGCGGAGCGGCTTGCCTGGGGACACATGGAGGGTGAGATGGGGCGACCAGTGGATGGGCCGTCGCTACCTGAATCTGACACCCAGAGGTGCCCCGGCCGAAGGCACAAGCCACGAATGAGTCAGGTCCTGGCCACAGCCAAGACAACCCTCTGTGACCTGCCCCCGACCCGCCAGTGGTCCCCTCCCTGCTTGGGCTGACAAAGCTCGGCCCTGCCTCCCTGCCTTTGAACTTGAGGTCCCCTTTGCCGAGAGCTCCACCCGCTCCACACCCAGCTCCTTCTCCCCACCCTGCTCCCGGCCCTGAGCTGCACCCCACCTCCCAGGCTCCTTCTGGACCACCCTCTCCGCCCGGGGGTCTCCCTCCTTCATCAGGAAGTAGAAGGGACTCCCCTCTGCGGGAGTCACTCACGGCTCTGGGCCACCCACAGCCCCACACCCCTAACAGGAGCCCCGCCCACAGGGGTGGAGGGAGCCCCACTTTCACTTGCCACAGCACCCCCAGGGCTAGACCAGCCACGGAGGGCCCGCGGGGCCTGCTCTGGGGAACCAGAACCGCGTCAGGATGAATCCCGGGAAAAGAACCCCTGTGGAAAAAAGCACGTGTATGCACGTTCCCGCTAATAGATCTACGGCCGTTTAGAAAGCGTCTTCCTGCTCGAGGACACCTGGGCGCCCTGTCCCACCGCACTGACTGGTGGCTCCGGCGCACACCACACCTGCCCTCCCGCGGGCCCCGAGCGGCTGTGAGCACCCCGGCCTCGGCCATCCGCTACGTCCTGGGCAGCGTTACAAGGGGCCGTGGGTTTCCTTCTCCAATAAATGGGCGTCGTCCTAGCTGAGGCTCGGGAACCCTTGGGATGCACATTCAATACAGGCCGGGAAACAGCCTCGACCCTTTCACTGCTGTGATTCTGAGAAAACAGTCAATTTCTGGCTGCTTGACAGGTGAACAGCAAAGTGACTCAGTTAAAAAGTGACTTCATCCGGAGAAAAGTGAGGTGATCACAGCGGACTGGAGCTCCGGTTCCTCTGTCAATCAGCCGGCTCCGCTGGGAGACCTTAGCCTCTCTGGCCCCAGTCCGTCAGTCCTTCCATCCTTCCTTCCGTCCTTCCTTCCTTCCGTCCTTCCGTCCTTCCTTCCTTCCTTCCTTCCTTCCTTCCTTCCTTCCTTCCGTCCTTCCCTCCCTCCATCCCTCCTTCCTTCCTAAGATTTCATTTATTTACTTTTTAGAGAGAGGAGAGGGGAGGGAGAAAGAGAGAGAAACATCGATCGGCTGCCTCTCACACGCCCCCAACAGGGGACCTAGCCGGCAACCCAGGCATGTGCCCTGACCGGGAATCGAACTGGTGACTTTTCAGTGTGGGGGACGACACCCACCAAGCCACTGAACCACACCGGTCAGGGCTGGCCTCAGTTTCTTAATCTGGAACATGGGGAGATGACGGGAACTTCGAGGGTTCCCAAGCCAGTGGGCATTCAGCCCTGTGCCCGGCACGCACACACCTGAGCACTCAGGTAACGGCAGCCAGGGTTCCTGTTCACGGGGTTCGCCCTGGGCGAGCCTCTCGCTCCGGAAAGCAAGCTGAGCGGGGCCGAGGGGCACCACACAGGCCTCAGACGCAGGGACGACCTCTGCTGGCGCCCTGGGGTGGGCCCACGGGGGCGCCCTCCTGCCAGAACACCACGGCGTCCCCGTCCTTCCCCACGCCTCTGGCTGCCTCTGTCCCAGGGCGCACTCCATGATCGGCGGCTTAGCAAATCTAAAAATACGTTCGGCGCACGGCTCTATCTAATCAGGCCCCCTCCTGGCCTCCGCCCCTCGGCGGGAGGACTCCGCTGCGCCTATTTCTGGGTGTGGGTGAGCCTGTCAGAGCGCCATCAGGAAGTGAAAAGTTGCTGCTTCAGACCGTGGCCAGTTAAAGGGCCCGACGAAAAGGAAGAAAAAGCGCAAGAGGCCGTTGCTGCGTGCTCTTCACCGTCTACAGTTAATGCCTATTCGAGGGTTATGCGGGGAAGGTCTTCCTTGCCAGGAAGCAGGCTTTTCAGGATGGGACAGAAGTCTCTGCAGAGCAGGTGCTCAGTGAATGCATCTGATGACCTTTTCCTACGCAAGTATTCCGCTGAGAGGCCCCAGGAGTCAGTGTTTTGTGGTCAAGGTGCATCCAGATTTGGGGGGGGGCCCTCTTAAGGAAATTAAGAATGCACCATTCTGAAATTTTTAAAACTGAGGTGGTAGGCTGTGAAAGGAACCCAGAGTGGGACCCCATTGCCCTGGCTTTAATAGTCTCAGGGTAAACTGCCCCCCGCCCTCAAAAAGTCATGTCCTGCTCTGGCTGGCGTAGCTCAGTGGATTGAGTGCGGGCTGCGAACCAAAGCATCGCAGGTTCGATTCCCAGTCAGGGCACATGCCTGGGTTGCAGGCCACGGCCCCCAGCAACCGCACATGGATGTTTCTCTCTCTCTCTTTCTCCCTCCCTTCCCTCTCCAAAATTAAATTTTTTAAAAAATCATGTCCTTACATTATTTTTAGAAAGTTACCCCACCGAACACAGGTGGGAAACAGTAGGTTCGAATGAAAATCAGCTCTGGGCAGTTTTACCTCGTTTGACTTTTTTTAAAGCCATATTCAATTTACTAAAGTCCCAAATCCCAAAACCCAATTTCTCGTTAAGCCTTTAAGTTTGACTTGCAAACCTTACTTGTGTGTGTACAAAGCCTGCAGGTCAGAACGGTCACTTTTAAGGGGCCTTTTGCCCCCCAGGTTCTCAGATACCCCCCATGGGAGGGTGCAAGGAACTGCTTCCACACGCCTCAGAGACGGGGTGCTGGGGCCCCGCCGGGGGACCCCAGTCAGCACCTTTCTCGTGGGACGGAACAGCCCAGCCTGGTCGGCTTTCACCGACGGGTTTCCAAACACTGAAGACAGGTCCTCTGTCCCTGCTCCGAAACCCCGGCACAGCCCCGGCCCCTGGACGCGCCCAGGGCTCAGGGAGGCTGAAGGCCCAGGCCGAGGTCCCCTAGGAGACCCTTGGTGAGCGGGGACAGCGCTGGCTCAGCCCTCTGCCCTGGGGGGACAGACGGGAAAGGCCCAGGAAACCAAACAGCTGCCCCATGTCCCTGCTCCGGGGCAGAGGCGGCCTGGGGGGAGGCCCTTCCTGCGGGCCTGTTTGCATAAGACGCTGTGGTCAGCCCACCCCCTTCCTGCAGGCCGTCGCCGGGGCAACTGACACTCGCCTCCCAGGGCAGCCAGCCAGACACGGAGCAGGGGCTGCAATGGCGACAACCACACACCTCCTGCCCCGGGACACTAAGGGCAGAGTGTCCCAGGTGGCAGAGCAGGGAGACCCAGGTCCTCAGAAGTCACTCGCCAAGTCACAGCTTCCTTACGACAGCAAGACTTCAGCCCTGGGTTCAAATCCCGACACCTCCAACTTTTGAGCTGTGTGACCCAGGCCTGACATGTGGGCTCTCTGAGCCACCTGTCCCGTGAGGAGAACAGGTCTCCCCACCACTACTTCCTGCGGGGGGTTACAGGGCAGACGTAACAGGCTCCAGCCGGACAGCACGTAAACATGCTCGAATAACCGTAGCCAACGTGTGAACATGTGTGAACACGTGTGGACCTTTGTGCCCAGCCCCAGATCAGCGCTTTCACTGGGAACCGGGCAAACCCTCTGAGGGCGACACCATCCACAGGGGGCCTCGTCCACCCCATGCTGCGTAGACTATGAGGGACTTTCTAGTCCTTACACTCGCTTGTCTCTCACTTCTGTGCTCATTCACTCACTCACTCACTCATTCACGCACTCCCTCCTTCAGACAAACACTCGTAAGCACCTACGCCCGCAGTGGAGCGCTAGGGCCAGGGAAGAAGACTTAGCTGCTGCCCCCAAAGGGCCGACAGTCTGTTAGGGAAGATGGCAGGGAGGAGACGGTTCTAGTTCTGAGCTCAAACGTCGGGATGGGGCACCCCCAGGGGGAGCTGTGGGGGTGTGGGGGTGGGCGGGGTATCTGGAGGAGGTGGTGTCCACACTGAGCACTTCTGCGCAGAGCGGAGGCCCGTATCTGGAGACCCTGGTAGGACACAGCTCGAGAGCAGAGACAGGACCTCGGGGGCCCTGGGGAGCCCCCAGGGCTGGCCAGCAGGGGCTGCTGTCTGGGCCCCGGCGGACACAGTCGGGGTCTGCGCACATTTGGGCCGGTGCAAAAGGGCAGATGAGAATGGCGGCCCTTGGGGGTGGGAATGCAGGGGAGGGGCAAACAGGGCCAGGGGGTGGGGCGGCTGCAGGGAGGGGGGAAGGGGGGTGTGCGATGGGCGCCTCAGTGCCTGCGGGCACACAGCCTCCACCCATCCACACCTGCGGAGCCCCCGGGCGCGGGCCTTGGTGCCGGGTAAGGCCGACCTGACCAGAACCCTCTCTCGCTCGTTAGCAGTGCAGAGCCCCAGGTCCCATTCCAGATCGAATCGAAACCTGCCTTTCAACAAGGTCCCCAGGTGACCTGCGATCACATGTGTGCTCGCCGTCCGGCCGGGGAGGCAGAAACACACGTTTACAAACACACGGTTACGGGGCCTGACGCGACAACAATGCTGGGACTGCCGCAGAGAGATGGGGCGGGGGCCGGGGAGCCTGCCCCGGCTGACCAGGCCCGGGGGCGGGGTGGGGGAATCCGCACAGACCTTCCTGCTGAGACCCAACGGCAGTGTTGGGTTTCAGAGACATGGAATTCCGGACAGACAGGCAGACAGACAGACAGGTGGCTGAAGCCGGGTGGCCGGGGAGTGGGTGGTGTTCGGGCTGGCTGGCGGGGGACAGAGAGGAAGATGCGTTTGCCCAGCACTGACCGCTCCAGGCACTGCGCCCGCCGCCCCAGGCTTCGAAACTCGGCGCAGTGGGGGGCCTGTGGCAGGTGTGCTTGTGGGAAATGCAGAGTCCCGGGCCCCTCCCCAGACCTGCTGACGTCACACCTGCATTTCAGCAAGCTCCTGGGCGCTTGGCAGACGCACACATTAGAATGAACTGGCGCAGAATGTAAGGGTTCAGCAAGTCTTTGCAAAGGCCCAAGAGGCCGCTGGGCAACACAAGTCAGGACTTGGCCGCAAGACACTGGAAGTGGGAGGGGCCGCCAGTGGCGTGGCAGAGTCTGCGTTCCCCCCCTCCACTCCCACTCCGGCCACGGATGACCGCTGCGTGGGCCTCTCAAGGTGGACCCTCACGGCCTCACAAGCAGGCGGAACAATGACAGCGCCGGCTGCCTGACGCCAGTGCACCCAGGTCAGAGCGGCATGGTCCCGCATGCGTCTGCTCGTCCTTAACGCTCAACCCCGGCCCCGAGGAGCGCGCTCGCTGCATGGCTGAGACAGGCGCGGAGAAACAAAGCGACCGATCCACCGTCACAGGGCCTGCGACACACAGCAGAGTCAGACGCACCCCCGCTGAGAGCCGCAGGGGGTCCCCCAGCACAGGCACGGACCGTCTGCACAACAACGTGCCCGTGAACGTCTGAAGGAACGAAGGAGCCTTGACGCTTCCACCTCCCAACAGCCAGCAGGCAAAAGTGTCGCATCTGCTTAGACCACAGGGTGACCAGCGGAGGTGTTCCCACCCCACACCCACCCCTCAGCCCCTGGCCACAGGAGGCTGGCCCTGCCCTGGGAAACCACATCGCCCCTCCCCCTGCTCCCCAATCTCTCCCCACCACCAGCCCCGCCCCCTCACAGCTCTGAGACAAAAAACAATTTGCATTTCTAGCCCGAGCCATGGCGGTTGGCTCAGACTTAGTCATGTGACCCCACCAGAGCCAATGAGAAACGGGTGACCTTTGGCTGGGCTCTGGGCTCTCTCTCACTGGGCTTAGTGGGTAAAACATAGAATTAAAGGTGTAAGTCCTGACTGTCTTTAAATCCGCCTTGGACACAATCCGACAGAGACCACGTGATCCTTGAGACCACCAGAGTGTCAGCTCTGGGGATGGCGCTTTGCGCTGGATTAACAAAACAAGAGAATTTAGCCATTTATGTTATCGGTTTCCACAAAGCTTAGTGAAGTTTAAGTCCAAGGACTAAGAAGAAGGAAGCTTTCCTGGATTACTAAAAGGCATGTCCTAAAAGTTCCAACACTGTAACCTTAAAACCCTGAGTGTTTACTTTAGGAAACGCGGCAGCCCTCGCAGCACCCTGGAAACTCTGGTGGCTGTGGTTCACCTCAAAGCTTCCTCGCCGACCGAATCCACTGGTCGACTGGGCCCCACCACTGGCCTCACCCCACACAGCTCAACCACCATCGAAGACTAAGCTCCCTGTCCTAGAAGACGACACAGCGCAATGTGTCGGTCCTCGTAAACAATGTAACCTACAGAGCTTTGAAAAGATGAACGCTAAAATCAAGATGTGGGATGGTGATTTCCCTTGACAGAGATCGGAGGCTGCCGCCCACCACCTTAACCAAGGTTAGAACTAACCACCTGGAGGAAGCAGAGGCAAGAGATGGGGCCTCGTGGTGAACCCTGAGCCCCGGCCTTGGGCCGCACCCAGCAGCAGGCGGGATCCTGGCATTCCCCAGGCCCTCTGGTGGGTCTGGGAGGCCAAGCACTGGCGTCCAGGAGCACGTTCCGAGAGAATCAAGGGCAGGGCAGGGCAGGGCGGCTGGCCACTCCTCCCCTCCCCTCATGGTATACTTTTCTGATTCCAAAAGGAACAGCTGTGCCTCTTTCCCTCCCAGTGGAGAGCATCTTCTCCAGAAGGGACCGAGTGAATGGAAACAACTGCAGGAAACAGGCGTCCCTAGGGCTCTCCCCGAGTCCCCCAGCGCCCCGGGAAAGAGAGAAATGGAAAGAGAAATTCCCGGAGAGCCAGGGCCCGCCCAACGCACAAACCCCACTGCAGCCGGCCTTACCGAATGGTGGGCTGGTCCCCGCTCAGCTGCTTAAACCTCCGGTGGAGCTGCTCGATCTGGTCCGACGAGACTGCGAAGTGAGAGAAAAGAGAATGAGAGAGAGACAGTGCTGACCACTGGACGCGCAGCAGCCAGAGGGAGGCGAGGGCCATTCTTCTGCCTCCTCCCTGCCCTCCTCTTCCATCCGCTCTCAGGCCGCCTCCCCCCAGTGCAAACCCCAGCGGCAGACGAGTGTGTCAGCAAAGGGCTCCCCTCCTGCCCGGCGGTGCCACCCCTGGGGCACCAGTTCTGACCCCCTCAGCAGCAATACAGTGACTCCTGATAGCAGCTGCTCCTGGGACAGGGCAGTGGTGACCCAGGCCACTTTCTCCTTCTCCTTCTCCATCTCCTGCGAGGTCCTGTCCCCTCCCTTGGCCCCTCCCACCCCTGCAGACGGGTCACCCCTGCAGACGGGCCTCTCCTCGCCGAGAAAGGCGCTTCGTGTAGTCACATACCAAGAGAAATACATCAGCCAAAGACAAATACCACAGGATGTCACTTAGGGGTGGAACCTAAAAAAAAAAAAATAAAACCCAACAAACAAAACAGAAACAGACTCGCAGATACAGGGAACAGAGCGATGGTGGCCAGACGGGAGGGGATGGGGGCGGGGTGGCGGCCGGGTGAAGCAGGCGAAGGGGTGAAATACGAAGTCCCAGGCATACACACAGTCACAGGGATGCAAAGCCCAGCCCAGGGAACACAGCCAGGACTATGGTAATAACTGTGTGTGGTGTCAGGCGGGCACTGGACTTGTCGGGGGGATCGTTTTGTAAGTCAGGGAAATGTCTGACCACTCTGCTGCACACCTGAAACTAATACAGCACTGAACGTCAACTGTCATTGAAAAATTAAAATAAAAATTTTTTAAAGAGAAGAGCAGGGAGGGGAGGAGTGGTTCGGGCCGGCACTGGACGTTGCCAGGGAGACCCGGGAGAGACACGCACTGGGTGCAGGCCAGCACCACTGACGTCTGTGCTCGGCGAGTGCTGAAACGTGGTCTCAAGTCGGCTGCCACCTGTGCTGCTTGGTGGCCCTTGGGAGAAGCCATGCCGTGCACGGAGGCTGGCCGCCACCAGTGCCGGGCTCGGGGCCCTTTGGTGGGCACCGTGATGTGCGCTGAGGCCAGCCACCCTCATGCCGGGCTGGTGGCCGCTTAGTGGGAGCTGCACGCTGAGCCAGCACCAGCAACAGCTCAGGTCGGGCTTGGGCTGCCTGACGGAAATCACAGTGCAAGGTTCGCCAAGTCGCCACTTGTGCCAGGCTGGGGGCCTCTTAGCAAGAGATACAGGGCACGTGGAGGCCAGCCATCGCTTGTTGGGGGTTTGTGTACTTTTGAGAGCTTTTAGGAAAGCCCACAGCATGCACCGAGCGGGGCTGCTTGTAAAGAAAAGCTGCTCGAAGCAGCTGGGGCCAAGGGCTTGCATTGGGTGGAGCAGGGTCTCAGGGAATCATAGGGGTGAGTGGGGGTGGCTGAAGGTGTTAGCCAGGTCCATAGAGACTCAGGTACAGCATCTGCCTGAGCCTGCCCTGGGGGGTGGGGCTCAACAAAGGAACGATGGAACCCCTTCCTGTGCGTCCCTCCTGGGAGAGAGCCCCCTCCCCCCACAGCTGCCCCTGCAGCCCTCACCCTGAGTCAGGTTGATTCAGCCCCGCCCCTGTCCCCCCACCCGGTTCCCCCCACCCCACGCCATGTGTCCCTGGTACTGTCCCTTGAACTGTGCCCAGTACTGGAGCTCAGAGTCTGTGTCCGTCAGGGAGCGAGCCCCTCAAGTGCAACGCCCGGGACCCCAGCAGCCCTCTGCACTCAGCCCCTGCTGGTTTTCACGGCCAGGCGTGGGCCCCTCAGCCCTCAGTGGGGACCCCCGCAGCTGAGAGAGCCCTCCTGGTTCTCCACTGCCGCACAGGGGCGTGGGGACCAGCCTGTTTCACGTCTCTGTGGCCCCCGCTGGGCTCCACGCGGCTCCTCCCGTGTGTCCGCAGGTACAGGACCTCTCTTCGGCCGGTCTGAGCGGTGCTCAGGGCGGTTGTCCTGTTCGCTGTAGTTCTGATGTGGTTCTGATGTAGGTTTCGATGTAGTTCTGACGCAGGTTCTGATGTAGGTTCTGATGTAGGTTCTGATGTAGGTCTGATGCAGGTCTGATGTAGGTCTGATGTAGGTCTGATGTAGTTCTGATGCAGGTTCTGACGTAGGTTCTGATGTAGTTCTGATGCAGGTTCTGATGTAGTTCTGATGTAGGTTCTGATGTAGTTCTGATGCAGGTTCTGATACAGGTTCTGATACAGGTTCTGATGTAGGTCTGATGTAGTTCTGATCTAGGTTCCGATGTGGTTCTGATGCAGGTTCTGATGCAGGTCTGACGTAGGTTCTGATGTAGTTCTGATGCAGGTTCTGACGTAGGTTCTGATGTAGTTCTGATGCAGGTTCTGATGTAGTTCTGATGTAGGTTCTGATGTAGTTCTGATGCAGGTTCTGATACAGGTTCTGATACAGGTTCTGATGTAGGTCTGATGTAGTTCTGATCTAGGTTCCGATGTGGTTCCGATGTGGTTCTGATGCAGGTCTGACGTAGGTTCTGATGTAGTTCTGATGCAGGTTCTGACGTAGGTTCTGATATAGGTCTGATGCAGGTTCTGATATAGTTCTGATGTAGGTTCTGATGCAGGTTCTGATGCAGGTCTGATGTAGGTTCTGACATAGGTTCTGATGCAGGTCTGACGTAGGTTCTGATGTAGTTCTGATGCAGGTTCTGACGTAGGTTCTGATATAGGTCTGATGCAGGTTCTGATATAGTTCTGATGTAGGTTCTGATGCAGGTTCTGATGCAGGTCTGATGTAGGTTCTGACATAGGTTCTGATGCAGGTCTGATGTAGGTTCTGACATAGGTTCTGACATAGGTTCTGATGTAGGTTCTGATGTAGTTCCGATGCAGGTTCCGATGCAGGTTCTGATGTGGTCGTGTGAGGCGAGCACGGCGTCCGCCCGCTCTGCCACTTCTGACCAGAAGTGAATCCGCCCCTTTTCCGGGCGGCATCCTTTATGAAATTGGCAAAACATACCGCAAACTGTTTGAGCAATCTGCATAGGGTGAGTCCAGTTTTTAAGCTTTTACGATGAGTGCGAAGGTGAACACATTTCTGTGTCCATATTTTTGTGCCTGTTGCATTGATCTCTTTCAGGATAAATCCCCGCTGAGCAGAATTACTGAGCTTTTCAAGTACGCTTTTCATTGCAACACAACATGCGTGCCGACCGAAGTACATCCCTCATATGTGTCCTGGTTCACAGATTTTCTGGGAACACGTTTGGGGCACCTGGACCAAGAACTCGAATGTTCCCAGTACCCAGAAGCCCCCATCATGCATCACTCGAATAGCTATCCACAGTCAAGGGGAACCACTATGCTGACACCAGAACCAACCCGCTGGCTTCAGGCCATGCCAGAACGCCACCCCAGCAGCTCCACAAACGACACACGGAAGGCGGACTCGGCTGGGGCCAGAGCCCCAGCAAAGCGAATCCAGCCTTGCAGGGCTGGTCCCTGTACACCAGCTTGTCCTCAGAGTCACAGCCAGCCTGAGAGTCGGCCCCTCCCACTGATGTGCCGACAGCAGCCAGGGCCCCACGACAACAGACAGGCACAGGAAACCCACCCACGAGGGACGAGCCCAGGGCGCCGGCTCACGTGAACGGTGAGAGGAACCGCTGGGCCTCACGGGACACGGAAGGAACAAAGAATTTCAAAGACTGAAGACAGCTTCAGGGGCCTCGGGGACAACATCAAGTGCAACAACGTTCACATCTTAGGAGCGCCTCAAAGAGGAGGGGGAGAGAGAGTGAGAGTCTGTGGGAAGGATGACGACGGGAACCCTCCCTAAGGCGGCGACAGTCACGGCTGCTGGAGTGACTCTGCGTGGGGTCGGACCAGGCGGCCGCTTCCTGCGTCACAGCCGACACCAGTGTCCGACTGCCGTGCTGCGCACCCGAGACTCACGTGAGGTGACGGGCAGTGCCAACCGCAATCGGAAAGAGTTTGATTTATTTAAAAATACACACAGTTGCATATTCGATGTGGAAACGTGTTCCACGTGTAAGGTCTCCGAGCAGCATGTTGGGAAACCGTCAATACAAATACACACGGGTGTTGAGAGAAAACCTAGACTCGTCTCCCCAAAATGGTAATAGCGATGATCTCTTCCTACTGGGACAAAAGGCTTTGTTTTGCTTTAATTCATCCGTTTTTCCAAGTCTTTCTTATGCACAATCTGTATTCATTACACGACCTTACACGACTATATTATTAGTCATGTGATGAGTAGGTCAAGCACATAATACGGTCCCATATAGAAGAGCCCACGGAACTTTAAAATGTTGTTATTGATGAATCATCCGTCCACTGGCTGTGGGTCACGCCCCAGGCACCCGTGTCCTCATCTGCTCCTTTCCAGGACCCCGAGACGGACAGAGCGTCCCCCCACTTTGCAGGAGAGCAAACTCAGTCTCAGGGCGGATGTGTGACTGAGTCTCACGGTCGCCGAACTTGAAAGAGACAGGGCCAGGATTTGGACTCTGTCTGACTGGCACAATATGTGTGGTTTGGTTTTGTTTTATTTTATTTTTATCATATTTTATTCATTTCATTTTCTTATTTATTTTATTTTTCTTATTTATTTTTTATTTTATTTTACCTTATTTCTACTGACACCCACCCCACACGGGCTCCCTTTGAGGGACCGGATGAGACGGGCTGGTTGAACAGCACCTACGTCTAACCTGAGGAGCGTGGTCAGAAACCACAGCCAAACACGCGCCCCTGAGCGGCCTCTCTCGGAGCTGAATTACCTTGACAACATCACGCTGGATGACAGAGGCCAGTCTCCCAGGCCACGCGCGGCACGGTTCCACTCACATAAACTGCCGCGAGAGGCAACTGGGAGGGGGAAGTAGACCAGGGTGGGCGGGGGGAGGGGCAGCGGGGTCACTGCTCAGAGGCACCGGTTTCTTTCTGAGCGGGGAGGGGTGAGATGTT